GAGGCCTCAGCTCAGTGTCCAGCACACAGGCTGAGCTCACCCCACAGAAACTAAATGATGTAACATAAAAACGTAAAATGTAATATATAAAATATAGAAGTATGTTTTCATTATCAGTTCTTCCTAGTAGCCCTGACTTAAGGATTTTGGAGTATTTCCGGTGGCCTGAATGGCATGCATCCCGTAAACCTGTCTTATTGAATGAGAGATGAAAGTCTCATCTCTTCCTCTTTTTTAGAAACCATTTAGTCTTTTATTACTCTGAATTTGTTGAGCAAGGAGTAGTAGCCAAAGCAACAGCAAGGTCCATGAAAGCCTTTCTGTGAACCCTCATCCCAGGAAACCTGTGCGTTGTATGTGTGTATTGTATGTGTTGCGCGTGTATGTTGTGCGTGTGTGTTGGACTTGACGGTAGGTCTCTAAGCCCAGATCTGTGGTTCAGAAGAGCAAGGTGTGGCAGGAGAGAGGAGAGTCGTGGAGGGACTTTGATCACAATTCCAGCTCCATGCCGCTGAGGACCTTGCCTCTCTCCTATGCCTTTCAGTTGGTGATTGAGTTTTTAGGACTGTATTGTGGCTGTATCTCAGTGGTGTGTGTGAATTGTGGGTGTGGAAAGAAGTGCAGGCTGAGCAGTGATATCAATGCCAGGTGGAATTGACTTTTATTCTTTGTTCAAATAGGTGAAGGCCCGTGGTCCTGGCCTGGAAGGTGGTCTCGTGGGCAAACCTGCTGAGTTCACCATTGACACCAAGGGAGCTGGAACTGGAGGTTTGGGCCTAACTGTGGAAGGTCCATGCGAGGCCAAAATTGAATGCTCTGACAATGGAGATGGCACCTGCTCCGTCTCTTACCTTCCCACTAAACCTGGGGAATACTTTGTCAACATTCTCTTTGAAGAAGTTCACATACCCGGGTCTCCCTTCAAAGCTGACATCAAAATGCCGTTTGACCCCTCTAAAGTGATGGCGTCAGGACCAGGTCTTGAGCACGGGAAGGTGGGCGAAGCCGGGCTCCTTAGCGTTGACTGTTCAGAAGCAGGGCCAGGGACACTGGGCCTGGAAGCTGTCTCTGACTCAGGAGCCAAAGCTGAAGTTTCTATTCAGAACAACAAAGATGGCACCTATGCAGTGACCTACGTACCCCTGACTGCTGGCATGTACACGCTGATCATGAAGTATGGCGGCGAGCTCGTACCACACTTCCCTGCCCGGGTCAAGGTGGAGCCTGCTGTGGACACCAGCAGGGTGAAAGTCTTTGGGCCAGGAATAGAAGGAAAAGGTGGGTTTCATAAAAAAGAGAGAGGCTGGGATTTAAGGGCCACCAGAAACTCAGAGTAGGGGCTGCAAACTCAACCACCTTCAGGGGCCAGGCAAGTTGTAAGAAAACACTCACCTGTGGCCTCCGCCTTGGAAATTGGCTGGGGGAACCAGAGTGAAGGGGCAAGCACATTGTGTTTCCAGAGGCTGCTGCAAACTCAACCACCTTCAGGGGCCAGGCAAGTTGTAAGAAAACACTCACCTGTGGCCTCTGCCTTGGAAATTGGCTGGGGGAACCAGAGTGAAGGGGCAAGCACATTGTGTTTCCAGAGGCTGCACTACTGCCTGACCCCTGTTACCTGTTTCTCCATGTGAAATGGGGCCCAGTATTGTCAGCAGATTTTCTAGTTTTTCTGGCAAAGCCAGAAATTCTGATTTTCATGTGGAAACTCAACATGTTTCATTGTTGGTACTTCACTGGAAAAAAGTTTAAAATGTCCTGGCTAACATCACATGTGCTACAGAGCAGGTCTGTCTTCACCCTTTAACCTGTTTTAGAGCCCCACCTTTGTGTGAGCAGTTGTGTTGTGACTTGGCCAAGAATACCCTAGAAGAGTCTTCTTTTGGAGGGGAGGGAATTTTTGATTTAGAGAGCCAGCAAACCCAGTTGTCTGCTGTCACTGAAGTTAGACTGAATGTCTTCTGAAGTGCTGAGAACCTTGGTTCTGGGTCCAAGGTGTTGGCAACGTTCTTATCTGTGTGATTGCTTTGCAGATGTGTTTCGGGAAGCCACCACCGACTTCACCGTTGACTCACGGCCCCTGACCCAGGTAGGGGGTGACCACATCAAGGCCCGCATTGCCAACCCCTCGGGGGCCTCTACTGAGTGCTTTGTTACGGATAATGTTGATGGGACCTACCAGGTGGAGTACACGCCCTTTGAGAAAGGTGAGTCCCCCTCTCCTTAGATACGACCCTCATTCAGAGCTGTGTTGGGTCAGTAGTCCCAGTGGTTGGTGCTGACCTTGCCTTGTGGGCTTGGCCTGTCTCAGCAGAGGCATGTGCAAAGTGACAGGAAAGTGTGGAAACCTCCCTCCCCTGGAGAGCCACATGCCCTCCCAGTGCCTAGCTTGCTGGCCTTGTGGTATAAATAGATGTGCTGAGCTTAGCATCAGCCTCATGTGAGCAGGTTATGGAACGATGTTCACGGCATGCTGCTCATTTGTGAAATTTTTTTTGCATATTAACTTCTTTCTTGAATATTAGTAATTTTTTAAAAATTTAAAAAATCAGAAAAGTATGAAGAAAAATATTAAAGCACTGTGTATCCCTATTACTAGGATATATGATACCTGTAAATATTCTGGTAGAGATATTTTCAGTCTTTTTGTAGCTGCATATCTCTTTTATTTCATGGATTTCCCTTTTTCTTTTGGTTAATGGCTGGATGGAGTTTCCCCAAATCAGGATAGTGTGCTTAAGATGACTGACTTGAATACAGGGATATTTGCTTGATGGGGGTGGGGTGGGTGGGTTATGTGACTGTCAAGTGAATAGAAAGCATACATGAACAGTTTGTAATTTTAAAAAATCAGATCACACCAGCGTTACTGTTTTTTTAATAAACCTGTTCTTTTCAAATAACATAGTATAGCTTGCAGACTTGATAACATAGTATAGCTTGCAGACTTGAATGCTAGATAAAATCATGAAGTAGAATGCCATTTCCCACAAATAAGTGATGTGTGTAAATATGTATTTCTTTTTTTTTTTCCTTTTTGTCTCTTCCAATCCTGGCTGTGCCATTCATTAGCTGCAGAACTTGACCAAGTTATTTCATCTCTCTAACCTCAGTTTCCTCATTTGAAGAACAGGGAGTGTAATAGTAGACCTTCCTCACAGGATTAAATCAGACAATGCTTAAAATGATGGTAGATAGATGGTAAGACTTCAACAGATGTCAGCTATTATTATTAAGATATTTTAACTTGCTGTAGCCTGAAACTATCATTTTTCATCCAGTTTATCATATCCCATGGCCCCCTTTCCACTACGCATTTGTTGAACCTCTGCCCACCCCCAGTGTGTCACTTCGGTGGCCTCACAGCTCTCTAAACCATCCTGATAGTTCATTCCTCCTCTTGGCATTTATGAGATGTATAGCTGCCCACCCATGGTGGGACTTTAATGCTCTATGCCTAGTTCAGTATTGTTTCGAATTCTGAGAGTTGCTATGCATCTGTTGTCCTTTGAAGGATCCATCACTTTTTTTTTTTTTTTTAGGGGGAGGAATCTCCACAGGGTCTAGTTCTGTTTAGTGAATTAAATGAATGTTACCCCCATACACATCTCAAAGGGTAGGCGAGTGTGTGGTGTGGATGCAAGTCCAGGGACTCTAGGGCTGTTCCTGAGCAGCTTATGACTTTACTCAGGTGTGGTGAGCACAAGGACTTGTGCACAGCAAGAGATGCATGTAGCCCCTTGGCGATGGACTTGGCAGTCTGAGGCATGGTACCAGGGACACTGGAGCTCCTGTTTCTGCTTCCTGTTTCTGGGGAGGTTCTCTTCTTTGGGGGAGCCCTGTGAAGGTCCTTGACCCAGCCCTTGTTTCTCCATTCAGTACTTTTCCCTGCATTCTCCATGTTTCATTGGTTTTTCAAATTGACACCCTCAAAGACTCAGAGACCATACAGGGGTCTCCTGTAGGGTCAGCCATGTAGCAGGACCACAGCTTTCACTCATGGAGAAAGTGAGATTTCACCTATTGACCAGGAAACCAAGAAAGCCTTGGAGGTGCCAGCTGCATTGACGGGAGAGGAGTCTAGGGGGCACTCAGGAGCAGTCTGGGGGAGAGGATGTGGGCTGCAAGGCTTGCCCAGCTCTCTCTAGTCCCTTCATTTTGTCCTCCCACCACTCAGCTTTCTCCTCCAGTTCCTCCAATGGCCTGCCTTCTCCCTCACCATCTCTGCAGGTGCTGATACCTCTGCTTGAAGCACCTGTCCATCTGCTTCCCCTGGGTGATATCTGCTTCCTCTCATGTCTCAGCTTAGATGTTACTGGAAATCTTTCTGGTCTCCCACAGACCAGGTTCATTGCCTCCTATGTGACCCACCTTGTACACTCCCCAACATGTTATATACAATGTTAGATTGACTGCTTGCCCTGTCCTTCTCCTGCATTGTGGCTTCCTGGAGGGCTGTTAACTATTTGGGGCCCAGCACCTGGGACAGTTTCTGCATGTAGTAGGTGCTCTATGGCAGCTGTTGAAAACAATGAGTGGGCACGTGATGCACACACAGTGAGGCAGGGGGAGCTTACTGAGGCTCGTGGAGCCGAGGTCCCAGGCAGAGCAATGGTGTGATACCGGCTGTGCACAAGATGGGTCTCCAGTGACTAGATTGTGCTCAGAATCCCATGACCTCTTTTCCAGGCAGCCCCTTCAGGGTTCCTGTGAAGGATGTTGTGGACCCCAGCAAGGTCAAGATTGCCGGCCCTGGGGTAGGCTCGGGCGTCCGAGCCCGCATCCCTCAGTCCTTCACAGTGGACAGCAGCAAGGCTGGCTTGGCCCCGCTGGAAGTGAGGGTCCTGGGCCCACGAGGTGAGTGTGCACCCTGCCTTCCTGCCAACATACACCTGCCCCGGGCAGAAGCAGCTGTGGCCCAGAGCAGGCACTTTGCTTTTAAGCTGGATCTTGTACTTAAAATTAAATTTCTTAAATTACTTTATTGCTTCATATTCTAGCTAAACAGTAGAAGTTCCTGATTAAAAGTAGGCAGACCTGTTATTTCTGGTCTTTTTCCCCATTTGATAATCTTGCCGTACATTTCTTTTTTAAATTTCATTTCTTTAAGGAGCTAGATGACACAAGTAGTGTTTGGGTTCTCATGTAACAATGTTGCAATTGGTTTCAGCATTTGTAAGGTGATGGGGTTGGCCTAGATGTGGGTGAATGGTAGGGTTTGGAGGTGATAACTCTTCGAGATGCCTTGGTGCTCATGTGGAACATCAGAATCTGTGGGAATGCCAGGTATGTGACCCCATGGCACACTGCTTTGTCATTGTCTAAACTCCCTGTAGAGAGAGGGTCCCTTGGGGAATGGGTTTTCTTGGCAATTTGGCTCACCCTGTTGGCAGCCTGGAATTTGGGTTTGGTAAGGCTAGCAGACCATTTTGGGACATATCCCTTAAGTGTATTGAAACTTGCCTTTTTTGTTTGGTAAGTGACCACACTTCCTTTTCCAGCATTTGAAATGTGCACCACCCCCCATTTAAGACATTCTGCCTAACTTCTTAAATAATCTGGATTTTTCCCCAGTGATGTGTTCTTGGCTTCACAGAAGTGGCAAATGGGGGCTTCCTTCTTCGAAGAGGAATCTTCTCCTTAATGAGGTTCAGCAGGAGGTTATGGCCTTTGAAGCTCTGGGCAGAAGTGGTTTAAGGGAAATGAGATCATGGGGCTGGACTCTGATTCTAAGAAGTTACTGAGCTTCAAGACCTCTGTGTGTGTGTGTGTGTGTGTGTGTGTGTGTGTGAGAGAGAGAGAGACACACACACACACACACACAGAAGAGAGAGAAGCATTACTTAGCTTTACTTAGATAGCTATCTCTGTTATGGAGGACCGTCAAGTAATAGCCTTGTGGCACAGACCCTTGAAAGCCATTTCAGAGTTCTTTAAAGGTGACCCAAAGGGTAACTTTATGGAGACGTTTGCATTTCTTCTTTATGGAGAAGTTTCCTATTGGCTGCTGCTCTAAGTTGTGTAACCTGAATTCCTCTTGCTGGTCTCCCCTTTAATATTGGCTTGTACCTGCCTCATCTGCTTTGCTTAATGAGCATGCCACACTTTGATTAGCCTCCCCAGCAGCTGACCCATCCTTGACTCTCATGTTCAGAGCTGGGATCTGGAATCTATCAACCCAATGCATGCCTTCATTTTGCTTTAACATGATGTCTAACCATCCCCACAGGCATCTCACTGAGGTTCCCTTCGCCTCATGAGATTGGCTCTCTCACTTGCCCTGCACCTGCTCTCCAGTGTGCTAGCGCCATAATGTTCTTTGCTTCACGGTGGCCACAAGTCTTGACTGGCTAGCTCATAGATTAATTTTTGCTATTCAGAGTTCTAGACTCTTTGGCTAGAACTTTCTTAGCTGCAAAGTAAAATTGCCACATCCCAAGCGTGCTTAACCAGCTTGAAAGGATATAGCATGTCTACAACACGCATCTTCGCAGTACACCCTCCAACAGCAAGCACGGGCAGTCTCCTTAATTATACTCTAGGGCAGACAGTGTACTTTAGACAACGAAAAGCTAAAGGTGTCTCTTGGGGTCATTTCTGTAACCATGAATTCAGTATCCTGTGATTTCTTAGGCCTATGATTATTGCCTGCTTGCCTTTATGTTACTCATCAGTGGAAACCAATAGTTCTTGGGGAAGGATGTGATTTACTTTCAAACTCAGCCAAGGGTGGAGTGAAGGGGAGGCCAGCCAGTTCATCAGACCTGTCATCTCTTTTCTCAGGCCTGGTGGAGCCAGTGAATGTGGTGGACAATGGGGATGGCACACACACAGTGACCTACACCCCATCTCAGGAGGGGCCTTACATGGTAGCAGTTAAATATGCTGATGAAGAGATCCCACGCAGGTAAGCTCTTGACACTTGAGAAATGGGTCCAAACTAGCCTCAAGCCCACCCCCCTGCAGGACTGGCAAGCACTGTTCTGGCAGACCACTCATCCATCCATCCATCCATCCATCCATCCATCCATCCATCCTTCCTTCCTTCCTTCCTTCCGTTCTTCCATCCATCCATCCAATCAGCAAGTATTACCCAGAACCTGCTTGCTCCACACACTTGTTACCATACACTAGCCTTGATATTTGTGGTTCTTGGTCTCTTGGCCTCACTTCCACTGTTCCTTTTAGACATCTTTAATTTAAAGGTGAGCCAAAATGAAGAAGTTGGGAATTTTTGAAGAAACAGGAACTGTTAGTTTACCAGAGGTTTCCTTTTGATAACCCTGCAAGTAGTTTTCTGATGGACAGAGGTGTTTACTTCTTTACTTAAGGTTTGGTTGACAACAGTATTCCCAGAGGTATTAAATAGAAATCTTGTTCCTCATTCACATTAATACAAAATGTTGCATAAACTCTTTACCTGTTGGAACAACCTCCAAAGGTTTTTATTGTACCCCTTAAGATTAAAAAGCTTCACTCATACCCCAATATACACAATTTATTATGTAGAGATATACATATAGCTCTAGTTATGTAGAAATATATAATTTATAAATTACATTTATATATTGCTTTATTAATAGATCATGTACCATATAAAGCATACTGAATGTACAAGAATAAACATAGATACAGAATATTGAATAAGATGAGATAAAATATTATAACTGATATTGCAGTATTATTTTTGCATTTTGGTGCCCATTGTCTTAACATAACAGAAGTGGGTTAAATGTGTTTAACCACCTGTTTCCCAAACATGTTTGGGAGCCCTTTTCCCCCAAACTGATTGTATCCTGTGGAATACATTTTAGGGCAAAGCTGGGATGTTGTATGCTGGTTTCTACCTCATGGTTCTAAATTTCTACTGGATTTAAAGCACTTTCACTAAACTCATTGTCTTAACTGCTGTAGAAATCCCTTTTCAATACCAGTCTCTCTGTGTAAGAGAGGTAAGATGTGGCTGGGTTGATATGTATCCTTACTGATAAGTGTGTGTGTTTGTGTGTGTGTCTGTCAAGTCCCTTTAAGGTCAAGGTCCTTCCCACCTATGATGCCAGCAAAGTGACTGCCAGTGGCCCAGGCCTCAGTTCCTATGGTGTGCCTGCCAGTCTGCCCGTGGAGTTTGCAATTGACGCCAGAGATGCTGGGGAAGGCCTGCTTGCTGTTCAGATAACGGTAACTTTGAGTTATTTTCTGGAGCCAACCCTCATTAATAAGACTTAATTTCCTGGCCAGGGATAAGAACAAGGGTTATAATAACCAATTTCTAACCTGATGCATATGTTTGTTAGATTTTCCCATCAAAGAGTCAGTAATCGGGCCGGCCTGGTGGCTCACTCGGTAGAGTGCGGCACTTGGGAGTGTGGTGGTGCTCCCGCCAAGGGTTCGGATCCCATATAGAGACCGGTCCACTCACTGGTTGAGCGCGGTGCGGGCGCGACACCGAGGGTTGCGATCCCGTTGCCGGTCGCGGTACGGGTTCGACACTGAGGGTTGCGATCCCATTACCGGTCATGAAAAAAGACAAAAAGGAAAAAAAAAAAAAGAGTCAGTAATCATGCAGGAGAGTAATCATGCAGGAAAACAAACATGCTCACCTGAGAGATTTGAGGATATAGCTTTAGGTACCACTTTTTGGTGAATCTCATGTGCTTTGCTATTACATCTATTCCTATATTTTTATTTTTAAATGTTGTAAATTACTTATTGGATCAGTTAGGACTGGGTTCTGTTGCATATCACAGTAAACCCCAAGATAAGAGTGGCTTAAACGCGTAGGTGCTCTTTGGCTTACCAAGGAAGCAGGCTCCATCTCTCCACCCCTCTGTCCTAGCGTGTGGTTTCTGTCCTTAACGTCTCCTCGTGGACTGTCAGGCTGCCAGTGCTCTGGCCATTGGATCCACATGGCAGGTCAGAATGAGGAAGAAAGGCAGAAGGGGAAAGAAAAAAGGGCCCTTCCAGCTCAGTCGTCTCTCTGAAGCAGCCCTGTCAACGTCCCTCATAGACTTCCATTCCCATCTCATTTTCCAGAAGCGAGTCACAATCACACGGCTGGACCTACTAGCAAGGATGCTAGGAAGCAGAATTTTATATTCTGGGCTCAGTGCACTGAGCTAAGAATTAGGGTTCTGTCACTAAGAGGAGAGGGAGAGTGGATGTGGCAGTGTGTGAGCAGGAGCCTCTGCCCCTTATCTCCCTACAAGGCTGTGGATTTGCAGCTAAAACACTATCTGTTCACTTGACAAAAAAATTACTAAAAATTGACCATGTCCGTCATAGGCTTAAAGGGATCTGTGATCCTCTCTTCCTCCAAAACAAAACAAAACACAAGATTGTATTAAGCAATTCTGTCTCCTCCCACTGGAGGCACTTATTAGTGACCAGAATATGACCAGGTTTTCTGTGAATAGGTTCTACATCTTAACAACATCCTAAGTAGTGTTTCTCTGTGATCCACAGGACCAAGAGGGAAAACCCAAAAGAGCCATTGTCCACGACAATAAAGATGGCACGTATGCTGTCACCTACATTCCTGACAAGACTGGACGCTATATGATTGGGGTCACCTATGGGGGGGACAACATCCCATTTTCTCCTTACCGCATCCGGGCCATGCAGACGGGCGATGCCAGCAAGTGCCTGGCTACGGGTGAGTGTGGGGTAGTTTCAAGTGCAGGAGTGTGGGTTTAGAATCAGAAAGCTGGGCTCTAGTCACTCTCTACCACTTAATAGCTGTGTGATCCAGGCTCAGCCTCTCTGAGCTTCAGTCAGGTGTAGATTGAAGATCTTTTATGGAGAACATTCAGATTCAAGAAGCTCTTCTAAGGATCAGAAACTGTTTCACAGGGTTTATTGCAAAGATTAGATGAGGTCAGGTACAAAACATGCTTAGCATGGTGCCAGGTATATGGTAATTAGTATTACATTATTTTTGAAGTGGGTATGTTTGTTGAGATATCAGTTATGATGGTGACTCCCATGAAAAGCAGCAAATTTCTGCCTTTCATGAGTAGGTGGTTTGATTATGCAAGATTCATTCAAGGGCATTTCAGGTCAGCATTAGAGAAATACATTAAAGGATCTTGGTTTTTCCTCAGCATTTGGGTCTTATGTCTAAGGCTCTCAGGAATTCTTCATGAATGTTTGAGCATCACAGTTCCTTCACTTTGTAAGATATGACTGGTTGACTACCATGGGCCTTTCACAAACCTTTCAGTTTCAAAGAGCAGCTTTTGTGACTCTATGTTGGGGCTCAAGCAGATTTTAAAAAAATGAATTTCCATCTCTGAAATGAAACTCATTTGCTTCTCTTTAAATAAGAAAACTAAACATAGGTCCACCCTGGATGTGTTCTATTTCTGTCATATATGGTCTTATTCTGAATAGAGAAAATCTTTGGGCTTTCAAGTCAAGGTTGTAAATTGCTGGGCCTGGCCTTTTTTGGCTCACCCGCAGCAAAAATTGAGAAATTTTGAAACACTGGCCTATCTACCACCTCCTAGGTGTATGGAGTTGCCAGTGACAACTGGATTGTCTTTGCTAACCTGAGGGCATGTTAATGGTGGGAAGGACCTTCCCGCTAGCTTTCCAGGCCTTTCTCCCTCTCCCAGCTTGGGCAGAATCCTAAGCAGCATACTGTCCTGGGCCCGGGGGCCACGCCTCCTCTGGCCTATCTACCACCTCCTAGGTGTATGGAGTTGCCAGTGACAACTGGATTGTCTTTGCTCACCTGAGGGCATGTTAATGGTGGGAAGGGCCTTCCTGCTAGCTTTCCCGGCCTTTCTCCCTCTGCCAGTTTGGGCAGAATCCTAAGCAGCATACTGTCCTGGGCCTGGGGGCCACGCCTCCGGGTCTGTCATTCAGGGCCTCCTCCGGACTGGCTCCAGTCTTCTCCTACTCGCTGTCTGAACATGTTATCACTCTTCGTTGCTCCTATACACTTTGCTTGTTTTTGCTCATGTGCTTTTAGTTCATGCTTTTTTGTACTCCCGGATGTTGTGTGGGTCCTGTGTAAAGGGGTGCCACAAGTCAGAGAGAGAGACTGGTTATTGTTTGGGGAGAGGTTGTAAGTCTCCCCTATCCAAGGGCACCCATCATTCAGAATTTAGCCATTTTTCCTTTATTCAGGAATCCCTCTGTCAGTGTGGCAACCTGGATGTAAATTCTTAGAACCTTTGAATAAATGTGCTGCAGGAGACTTCTCAAGAACAGTTGATTCTTTTTCTTGTGACTTAGTCCCTCCTCACCGTTGCCATGGATGAACTGTCATTCTTGGTGCCCTGTTAGACTGTGAGCATCTTGAGAGCAGGGATTGTGTCTTGCTCACCTTTATGTTTACCTGGCACTTGTACCTTTGCTGAGGAAAGTTTACCTTCATCCCCATACATTTGAATGCTGGCAAACTAGGGCTAACCTCCAGCTGACACTCAGAGCTTGCAGATTCTCCTTATTTAATAAGTAATTGATGCACTACTCCCTTGACAGCACCTTTCCCCAGTGATCTTTGGGATGTCGCACTGGGTGGTGGCAGTCAAAGGCCTAACAGTTACAGATATAGACAGCACGAATGAGTGTGGTTTGTTTTGGGTCCTCCAGGACATGTGTCCATGGCTGATGCTTCCATTCTCTTCTCCTGAACTTTGCTCCAGGTCCTGGAATCGCCTCCACTGTGAAAACTGGCGAGGAAGTGGGTTTTATGGTTGATGCCAAGACTGCTGGGAAGGGGAAAGTGACCTGCACAGTTCTGACCCCAGACGGCACTGAGGCTGAGGCCGATGTCATCGAGAATGAGGATGGCACCTATGACATTTTCTACACGGCTGCCAAGCCGGGCACCTACGTGATCTACGTGCGCTTTGGTGGTGTCGATATTCCCAACAGCCCCTTCACTGTCATGGTAAGGAGAATTCCTTCTCCAGAGCATGTTGTTATTAGCTGAAGCAATAACAACAGCTGCCTTGTTGAATCCTGACTAGGATATCCTTTTCCATGCTTTTCTCCTTAAAAAATCTTTTTTATTAAGTAGTCATGACCTTGTAGAGACCTAGAGTGATCTCTAGAAACCCAGAGACCCTTTGGCTCTAAGGGCTTTAGGGAATCTTTTTGGCCACCAAAGTATGTATCATGCTAATGGACTTAGGCAGTATCCTGGCCTCAGCCCAGTTCAGAAAGACACACTTTTGCAAACAAGTAAGTAAAACATTGCAATTTTTATTCTGCTAATTCTTCCTCCTCTCACCTCCCCATCTCAATGGCTGTAGAAGGGAGCTTCCTGATGCTGTTTTGTCTGGAGTCTCCACTCTGATATCTCAGGACTAGAGTATCTCCAGTTGTGTTTTGGACAGATTCAGACTTTACATATGAGGGTGAAACACCTTGTTTTTAGAAGCTGGAAACATCTGGAATAAACAAAACCATCATGCAAACATCTGGGCTAGAAAAGGACAAGTGTCTTTAATTTTCAATTCTGAGTGACTTTTAGATCTTCCTCTAATTATTAAGGTTCTTCAACCAGGAAGGGGTTTAGAAACCTTGGGAGCATTACCTGGTCTAACCCTCAAAACCAAGCATTGTTGGGCTTTTTACAAATGAGGCGTGCCTGGTCTGACCAAGTGTCGTCTCCCTCACTGGTGTCCTTTGATGCCACAGGCAGTAGACACACTTGACCACAAGGTTCATAGGCCCTTATGACCTGGCCCTGCGCAGGGCTTACAAAGCACCTTCTAATTATTTCACTTTGTGCAGGGGTGGAGGAGGGCATGAGACTCCATTCCAGACAGAAGCCCCAGGACTTTCTTCCAAACAGTCTATAATCTGTTGTAGCTTTTTTCCTTTCTATAGACATTTGTTTATCTGTAAACATTGTGCCAGAATTCTGGAGGCTCTTTTATGTCTCTGTATGTAAACACTTGTCACTTGACTTTGTTTGTTTGGGAGTATTTTTCTCCTTTAGGGGAGAAAGAATTGCAGCTAGAAAGCTTATGTCCTTGTTTACACAGGAGAGTCCCAGTCATAGTTTTAATAATCTGTTTTTATCCCATAGTGGGCTTTATCCGGTTGATTAGAATTGGGCAGGATGGAAGGGCAAGCACTGGGCAGAGGTCATGGCCTTGTTGGTGCGATGAGCTGGGGATGAGAGACAGGGCCGAGTGGGTAAAAATATTGAGGACTATTTTAGCAGGGGAACCAGAGGCCTGATGTGGAGGCGTCCAAGTGCATTAGGAATAAATGTCCCCAGGCCCTGAATATACACAAAGCAAGGATGCTATGTGTATGCACACTGCCCCAACCTCTGCTAAAGGCATCAAGGGACGACCACCCACAGTACCTGGTTTGGGTCTTTGTTCTCCTGTTCCAAGTTTTCCCCAGACTTACCTAGATGGACTGGCTTCCTGTTCATTAGCTTTGACTGGGTAGATTCCCTGCCTCCCTCAATAGGTTTGAGGCTGAAAGGACATAGACACCCAGCACTACATTCATAGTAGATGTCTCAAGGAGACCCACAGGCTGGTTCAGTTAAATACGTTGCACACATGTGGCACATGATGTTGTGGGTGAGTCGCTTAACTGCCCATCACTGTTGAGAAGTCCTGGGTCAAAGGCCATAGCTTAGCCATTGAAAAGTCTTCCTCCTAGCCGATGTGTCCCTGTCTAGCCCTGATCTGAGCAGGCACTGGAAGCAGAGGATAGGGCTGTTTCAAATGTAGCAGCTCATAGAGCTGCCTTTGTAAGTGAAAACTCCTTTCTGCAGCTACCAAAGTACACAAAAGGAGTTAACGTGAGCACTAGGCCTTCTTCTGTAGGGGGGGCCATCCGATTGTTGTTCTTTGTCATGGCAGAAGAGGGATGTTGAGAGGGGTCCTCTCCTTATCAGGTCAGTTGGATCAGAAGCATAAAGTCTAAGATTTTTTAAAATTGAATTTATGAAAACTTTTAAAACATTAACCACTGTAGATATTTATCAAGTAGAAAGAGACCTCATTCCTGATCCCATGCTGCAGAGATGATCTGTGCCAGCTTTTCTCTACTTATACAACACACACCTCAGTTTTGTGCATGGGAACATACCATATATATTGCTTTGCAACTTGCTTCCTTCCCTCTTTATGCCATGGGTACTCTTTCATATTAATTCAGCAGACTTAACCTTATTCACCATGGCTGATCAGTGTTCCACTGGACAGACTTGCCATAAGTTATTTGACCACTTACCTTACAGATGGATATTAGGTTGCTTCAGTTTTTCACGACCACAAACGGCTACAACTCCTTGCACACATTACTTACCTGTGGAGTTTCCTGCCAGTATAGGCCTGCTTAGAAGTGGGGTGTGGGTTCAAAGGGATGTGCACTTGAAATTTGAAGAGAGGATAACAACTTGCTCTCCAAAAGGGTGGTGGGAAAGTAACCTTGCACTGGAGCAGGGGACTCACTGTTGCACGAGGTGGAGCAGATGGGGAGGAAGCAGCTCTCAGGTTGTAGCATCTACTGAGTAGCAATATCCCTCCAATGTGATTCCGAACTAATCTCCATTTGCCACCAACCAGGCCACAGATGGGGAAGTCACGGCTGTGGATGAGGCACCGGTAAATGCATGTCCCCCTGGATTCAGGCCTTGGGTACACTTTTGTTTTTTTCCTTTTTGTGTTTCTGTATTTACTCAACCTTCATTTCAGAAAAGCTGCCACCTGCTTTTGGGGATTGCTTAAGCCCTGTGGGTGTCCTGGCGTGTCCCCCACTGATCATTCCATCACAATGATCCCTGCTTTTTCTGTAATAAGACCCATCTTTGCGTCACCATCTGTGCTCCATGAATCGTCAGCCATCGTGTCTGTGATCATGCTCAGTGCAGTGTGTCTCCGTGTTTAAAGAGAAAGATGGACAGCTGTCTGCAGTCCTCCTGCTGACTCTCAAAGCCGCCACTTGCACATTTGGTTTCTGTTCAGGGAAAAGCCACCTGCTGCTACTCTCTGCCACTTAAAATGCACCTTCTTTTCCAGGCCACAAGCAACTAAATCCTTCCAGGTGGAGCCTCTTGGGACTCACAGACATTGCTGTCTTTCACTTTTCCACTTTCCTGTGGGTGCTGCTGGGAATTTTACAAACAGACTGCCGAGTAATTTCTAGCAATTGGTCAGTGAAACTTCTCCAGTCCTTCAGGTTTTGCTCTGGGCCCAGGGCTAGTTAGACAAAGCCCATACTGCACAGGCAGCTGCATCCCCAAATTCCGGCCTCACTGGCTTGCAGGATTCCCAGTGGCTCTGCCCCTGTAGCTTCACTAGCCCATACTGTTGTCTGCTTCTCCCAGTGACCACTGGTTCCTGTTTTTAGGTGACCGAAGAGGCCTATGTCCCAGTGAGTGACATGAACGGCCTGGGGTTTAAGCCTTTCGACCTGGTCATTCCGTTTGCAGTCAGGAAGGGAGAAATCACTGGTAAGCACTTGTCTCGAAAGCCTTGTCGTTCTCACTCCTCGCATTTGCAGTCCAGAACGGTGCTGGGGAGGTGGTTCCACAGCCCCCCAGACCTGGGCTCCTGCATCTCTGTTTCTTGCTCTTGGGGGTCGGTTCGTGAGCCCCTGAGATTACAGAATGTTCTGTGTGTATATGTGTGTGTGTTTCTCTGATGAGGTGGTTCATTTGCAACCTGCATTAGTCTCTTGAGAACGCCTGTGATTCTCTCTAGATTAAGAGTTGCTGTGTTTAAATACCTTTCAGCTGTCAGGTTCCTGTTTGCCCCTTTTTTCCTGCTTTCTCTTATTCTCCCACTTTTCCAAATATTACCTTGGCACTGAGGTCTCAGTACAAGAGTTACTTTCTCTCCCCAGCCTCCTTTTAATGCCTGCTTCTCTTTGAGTTGATGCTCTTCTAACCCTGCCGGTTTCCTGGTCTTCTCAAGTCCTGTTTGAGCTTTCAATTGATTGCAGAAAACCCTTTACTTATGACTTGCTTGCTCCATTTTGTGGAAGCCAAAGGAAAACAAAAAAGAAAAGCGAATGGGTCTCTTATTTTCCGGTTGTGAGACTTGGATATTGTAGGCAGCAATGAGTGTTCTTGGATCCGCAAACCTGTACTTTGAAACTGTCTGTGCCTTGTGCTCAGCTTCTTGGGGAAGCTGCTGGTGGGCTCATGCCCTGTCTCCCTGTGCTCCACAGGAGAAGTTCACATGCCTTCTGGGAAGACGGCCACGCCTGAGATTGTAGACAACAAGGATGGCACGGTCACGGTCAGATATGCCCCCACTGAGGTCGGGCTCCATGAGATGCACATCAAATACATGGGCAGCCACATCCCTGGTAAGTCTGGCTCAGCAGCTGGGCTAGCAAGCCCCACTGGACTCCACAGTTCAGGGGCCTGAGAATCTGGGAGGCTTGCAGATGTTCCATCAGCTGCCTGCTGTGCAGGAAATGGTCTGGGGCAGATCCAGCCAATTTCCAGAAGGGGTGAAGCAGCTCAGTGGCCCAGGTCACAGTGCAGGCCTGTGGGGCCTGGTTGTTTGTCTTTGTCACTTTGCTGAGTGTGGCAAGGTCAAGCTGGGAGAAAAATGTGAGCAGTGAGGGACTTTCCAGCCTGGCCTGCAGAGCCCTGTGTAGTGTGGGGTTCAGGGTGCAGGAGTAGAGGTGGTGAGAAGGAGGACAAGCAGGCCTTGACAAGGAAAGCCAGCTCAAGTCTCATGGCCAGCACAGTGTTAGTCTGGCTCTTTTTTCCTTTTTGTAATGTTTTAAATATTTCTTTATTTTTAATTTGATATTTGAGTAGGTGACATATTCACATGGTTTAAAAATAAAAGTATGGAGAAAGGTTTCCTTCCCTCACGTCCTCCATCTGCCCTCCCTTTTGAACCTGACTTAATTTTTTATGTTTGATTTCAGAGTATGTTTAAGGCTCTACATGCAAATGAGAATACAGATTTTTAATCCCTCCCCATTTCACATAAATGGTAGCATACTTGACACTTCAGTCTGTCCCTGCTCTTTACATCTAACGGTCTACCCAGGAGAGCTCTGCAGGTTTGGATAAGAGAGTGTCTTCGCAGCCTCCTCCCATGTGGATGAACCATTACTTATTTGACCAGTTCTCTGTTGCAGGACATTTTGGTTTTTCCCACCTTTTGCTGTCACCAGTCTTGCTGCAGTGAACAGCCTTTTACATTCAACACCTCACACTCACCAGGGTCCGTCTGTGGATTTAGTGCCCAGAAGTGAATTGTTGGGGCCTAGGAGTAGGCATCTGGGATTTTGATAGATCTTGCCTAATTGCTGTTAATTGGGGCTGTTCAGTTCACACACCACCAGCAGTGGAGAAGAGCACCTGCTTTTATACAGATTTGCCATGGAATATGCTATCAAGTTTTTGGATCTTTGCCAATCTGATAGTTGGAAAACACGGTATCTCAATGTTGCTTTATTTGTATTTCTCTTGTGAATGAGATTGAGCAATTTTCTGCATGTTTAAGTGCCACTCGTGTTTCTCTTTCTGTGAACTGAACATTTGTATCCTTGGCCCGTTTTTCTGTTTGGTTACTGGCCTTTGTCATATCCGTTTCTAAGAGCAATTTAAATATTAGAGAGATTAGTTAGCCCTTTGTGATAGAAGTTGCAAGTATTTCCCTGAGTTGGTCATTTGCTTTAGTCTATGTGTGTATATGTACATAATATTTGTTTAAAGCAAAAATATATTATCTGCTTCTATTTAAATATTCTAAAGACATAGATGTAGACAGAGTGAAAAATGTCTTTCTCACATCTGCCTCCCACTTTCACTGCTGGTGTGAGTGTGCATCTTTTCAGATGTTTCTCTCTGAACCTACCTGCGTGCATACAATCTTATTCTGTTTTGTTTTCAAAGGAATGGCATAATAGTGTTAATATTATGTAGCAACTTGCTTTTTCTCTTTTTAATGCAATTTATTGTGGATAATCTCTCAAGTTAGTACACATAGATCTCCCTCATTCTTCTAATGGCCCATGATTAGACCAATGTTTAATCATCCCCCTATTGTTGGATACTGAGATCTTTTCCTGACATGCATCTGAACACTGTGGAAATGAAAGTGCTTGCAGAGGTCTGGGAGCGGGGCTGGGCAGGTAGGACCACTGTGAGGTCGATTCCTAGGGCTCGACTCTGTGGGCAAATGATCTTCCAAAAAGACCTTTCTAGTTCTATTCCTTCTAGTAGTGGGTCAGTTCTCCACACGGTATATATATTTCTTCCTTATTTGTCAGATTGAGTTGGAGTTCCCTGGTTTAGCCCCCTCCCTAGTCTGGAGCACCTCAGCGATTGCTTTCCTTACGTCATGATTGAAGGAATAATACTGGCTAGACCCCCGTAGGTGTCCTAGGATGGCGAGGTACCAGAATTTCCTTTTGTCTCCTGCCTCTGCTTAGGCAGCACCAGACCTACCTGCTGAAAGGTGAACGTTAAGATACTGATTGTCTGCAGTATTCATTCACAATTTTGTTTGTGTCCTTTGCAAATCCAGAGAGCCCACTCCAGTTCTATGTGAACTACCCCAACAGCGGGAGCGTTTCTGCCTATGGACCAGGCCTGGTGTATGGAGTGGCCAACAAAACTGCCACCTTCACCATTGTCACGGAGGATGCAGGAGAAGGTACTGTTTAGTCGATATGCTCAGACGCTTCCAGCCTTCCCCTTGAGAGCTGACAGTTCCAAAGGCAGCTTTTAAAAATAAGACTATTGAATGGTAGTATTTTTCTCTCATGTAAGTATCTTTTCTCTCATATAAGTCTGTCTCTTCTATAGAGCTGCCCTATCCTCTCCTCCAAACAGAAACTTTTGAAGTCCTTTGTGTTCTAATTGAAATCATATTCATGCTATCAAATATTTTATGTGGCTTGCCTGTATTTTTATTGGTGATGTTTTTGTTTCTGTTCTTTTTACGCATGTATCCACAAAACCATGTGACTTATTTAGTGGCCTATTCTAGATAGAGCTCTGTGCCCATGCCCACTGTATTAATGCAGAATCCTAAATCTGTGGTTCTAATGGGATTTCCATGATGGCATCCAGCGCCTGACCAGCAGTGACAGTCCATGTCTGGCCCCCAAAGTATATGAGTGATTGATGTGCAGGGCTTCATCCATTCCTTGTCTTATGCATCTTGAAGAGTAGACGGAACTTCAGGGTTATTTGTGGTATAGAATTAAGATGATGGGGTGCCTTCCCAGTGGGCAGTTTTACCATGTTTTGTTCTGACATATGACTGTTGCCCATGACTCCCATGGAGTGTGTCAGTCTCTGTCCCCGGTATCAAGATGAGTTGTTAACACTGTTGAAACAAGGACACTCATTCCCCCTAACCACCCTCCCTCCCTGCTGCCACATACAGGTGGTCTGGACTTGGCTATTGAGGGGCCCTCAAAAGCAGAAATCAGCTGCATTGACAACAAAGATGGGACGTGCACAGTGACCTACCTGCCCACCCTGCCAGGCGACTATAGCATTCTGGTCAAGTACAATGACAAGCACATCCCTGGGAGCCCCTTCACAGCCAAGATCACAGGTAGGGTTTCTTGTCTTGCTGGGGCTTCCTTCTCAATGGTATGTCTGCCCCCAACAGTCTCTCCCCACATCAGACTAAGGGCAGCAGACTAGGCATCTGTTTGAGCTTAGGTTTCGTGGAGACTCCTTAAGGAGGAACTGGGGGTGCAAGTCCAACTTTGAGCCAGCTAAATTCCTCACCTAGCTAAAAGTCCAGGGGAAAAAAGAGCTCTTATGGCATGAGTACATGTGCTCAAAGATGGCCTTCAGCGTCACTACTAGATAGATTTTCTGCTCTCCATTATACAGATGGGAAAACTGAGGCTTGGCAAGGTAGTGGCTTAGCCAAATTCACATGTTGGTATTCTGGGATTCAGATGCAGGTTATCCCATTCCAAAGCTTGTGCTCCTGACCTCTGTTCTACCTGCTGTGTTTGGGTAATGTTCTCAGTGGGTTATAAGGAATACACACAAGACAAGGTACTTAGGCCTGTCTGTGAAGCAGCCTGCAGCAGTGCATGGAACGCAGTCAGTGTTTACCTGAGAAATGCCCAAGGGCGTGGCAGGCAGGTGGGAGATGCCTTCCACTGCCAAAGAGTTCTTTAAAAAGTGGTCCATGAAGACTCCAGTCCCCAGTTCCTGCAAGCTCCTAGTGTTCCCTTTAACCAGGCATAAGTCCCAATCATTCTTTGCTGGTTAGGTCTGCTCAATGTCTGGGTCATGCTTTTCCACTTAACTTTGGGTAATTAATTCTTGCCTGTTTCTCTGTAAACAGCATGAGGAGGGAGGGCTCTGGAGGGTCGGGGTGACCACATGTAACGGGTGTGTTGGGGGCTGTTTCCCAGACGACAGCAGGCGGTGCTCCCAGGTGAAGCTGGGCTCAGCCGCCGACTTCCTGCTGGATATCAGCGAGACTGACCTCAGCACCCTGACGGCCAGCATTAAGGCCCCGTCTGGCCGTGACGAACCCTGTCTCCTGAAGAGGCTACCCAACAACCATATTGGTAAGCCCAGGCTGCCTTCTTGGCCACATCCGGGAAATCTTGGGAGGGAGGCGAGGTCTCCCTCAGTCCTTTCTTGGGAAATTGGTAGTGAATTGAAGTGTGATGTGATAAAATTGCTGGGTCACATGTATGATTGAAGTCTAGGTGCATCCCTGCGTTGTGATGTTGACACCCTTGGACACTCTGAATTGTTAGAAAGTCAGGAAAGAAGTCATATTTCCATTCATTCTTCAGAGTGTAGCTCTGTCCTGCTTCCTCTCCTCCATCTGCTTCCCCCTTCCCCTTACAAACCTCAATCTGTGTTCTGCAGGCATCTCCTTCATCCCCCGGGAGGTGGGCGAACACCTGGTCAGCATCAAGAAGAATGGCAACCACGTGGCCAACAGCCCTGTGTCCATCATGGTGGTCCAGTCTGAGATCGGTGACGCCCGCCGAGCCAAAGTCTATGGCCGTGGCCTGTCAGAAGGCCGGACTTTCGAGATGTCTGAGTTCATCGTGGACACGAGGGATGCAGGTCTGTGGGGTGGTCCAAGGGGAATGGCCAGAGCTGTGGGAACTGCCGCCTTCTTGCTCAGGCCGCTTTGTCTTTTCATTCTACCAACTCCCTTTCCTTTCTGAGTATCCTTCAAGCAGTTGTCCTCCTTCCTGCATTATCATACATGACTCATAACTTTTGGTGAAGTAGGTATTATCTTGGTTTTATAGGTGAAGAAACTGACCCTCATAGGGGTTATAGCCCCATATGCTCCTGGCATTTGAACCCTGAGCTGCCACAACTCACAAACCCCTGTTTTTGTTTTGGGCAGCTGGTGCTGGTATGGGGATCTGAATCTTGGCCTTGGTGTTATCAACCCCATGCTCTAACCATCTGAACTAACCAGTCAGTCCCGCTATTTTATTATCTATATTTCCATCATTGTTCTCAGCTTCCTAGGGTCTCCCAGACTCATGCCAAGCAAAGAATGTAAGGCCAGACGGCCAAGATGGTGCTCCACTGAGCAGAGCTTTTATGGAAATGAGGCTCTCTTCATGTTCCCTCTTTGAGATGGTTTGAGTTAGGTGGGCCTCTCACAAGCTACGCCACATCCCAGTGTCTCCATCTTCTGCATTCTTGTGTGATGACTTTGTGGGTGGATTCTAGAGAGTCACCATCCCTTGAGAGAGGGCTGGAGAATTTCTGGTCCTGATGGGCATATGCTCCCTGTTGATTCCTTGTGTTGTTAAACCTTCATATCTGCTGCCCTACTCGAGGCAGCTGGAGGCTGTTTAAAAACTCAGATTCTCAGGTCTGTGGCTGGAGAGAAACCTGGTGGCAGTCAGTGCATGCCATTCTTGGAGCCGCGTGGGTAGAGTGTTTTTCCCACCTGGTTGTGCAGGACACATGTTCCACGGGGAATTAATAGACATCCTTGAAGAAAGGGTTCTCTGGTCAAAGTCACATTCAGCAGGTTATTTCACTGTAGGACTTCTCAGAGTTTCTAATCTGCTCTTCTGCCCTGGGCTCTCCATATAGGGGCCATTACTTTCTTTCTGCTGCTTCAAAATAGTTTGAATTTTGAGGGTCAGATGTCCTTTCTGCATTCATTGAGCTCTCCTTTCCCAGTGAGGAATTGTGGTCAGAACAGCCTGGGGCTGCTGTGTTGTAGGGTATGGTGGCATTTCCTTGGCGGTGGAAGGCCCCAGCAAAGTGGACATCCAGACAGAGGACCTGGAAGATGGCACCTGCAAAGTCTCCTACTTCCCCACCGTGCCTGGGGTTTACATTGTCTCTACCAAATTCGCTGATGAGCACGTGCCTGGTATGTGTGTTGCCTTCTGCCCTCCCTGTGTGATGCTTGTGTTTTTCATAAATCCTGTGCTGCGGCCTCTGGGCTGCTCACACGGTCTTCTTGGTTCTTTCAGGGAGCCCGTTTACTGTGAAGATCAGTGGGGAGGGAAGAGTAAAGGAGAGCATCACTCGTACCAGTCGGGCCCCGTCCGTGGCCACCGTTGGGAGCATCTGTGACCTGAACCTGAAAATCCCAGGTGGGTGCAGGGGGCTGGTAGGGCAGGGTAGTCTGGGCACTGGCCCTTGGGGCAGCAGCAGGGCAGTGGGCACCTTTGGGAACCAAGTCCAGGCAGGGCCCAGAACATACTATCCAAGTCAGCTGTGATGACCTTTTTATTTAATTTTGTTATTTTCTTTCATATTTATTTTCACAAGGCCCATCCAAGCAAAATGAATCTGTTCACCTCCCACCTTTTAAAAATTTCAAATGAAAAGGCTTTATTGTGTTACATGGGGGGAAAAATAGAACATAGACATGCTTTTAGATATTTAGATTTTTTATCGAATAGAATAATGTCAGTGAGAGAACTGGCCCTGCTGATGCCAGTTATCTGGAAGTATTTGAGAGGTGGCATCCCAGTGACATTCTTCTTCCTTTTTTTTTTTTTTTTTTTTTTGTGACTGGTAAGGGGATCGTAACCCTTGGCTTGGGTAAGGGGATCGTAACCCTTGGCTTGGTGTCGCCTGCACCACGCTCAGCCAGTGAGCGCACCGGCCATCCCTATATAGGATCCAAACCCGTGGCCTCGCCCTCCCAGCGCTGCTGCGCTCCCAGCACCGCACTCTCCCAAGTGAGCCATGGGGCCGGCCCCCAGTGACATTCTTCTAATGTGTCCATTTATCTCTTTCATTCCTAAAATTAGAACGAGGGCTGTGTGGCAAAACTGAGTGTTTCATATGTAGCCCTCGGCAGTGAGTTGTTCTTCATGGGGCCAAATTAGCCAGCAAACAGGCCACACAGTCTGTGTGCAATGTGGCCCAGATTCTTTCTATAAAAGAATCCTCGCAAGGAGAATTGACTGCGTAAGTGAAAATCTGAGGCTCCTCTGCCCAGAAGCTGGAAGGTGCTGTTTAGTTGCACAAATTCAGTGAGAAGGAAAATCTGAATAGTCTTCAGATGAAGCTCACGTGTGATCTCCTGGAGAGGGGCTGTTTTCCTACACCGAGTCTCCTGTCTTTCCTAATATGTCACATTTCTGTTTACTCTGCTTCTTAGCTATAGTTGCTGGGTTCTTCTTGTGTAAACACATCATTGCTGTGTCACTTGTGAATGCAGGAAAAGCCTCTAGGGTTGAGACCAGATCACTTAAAAAGAGCTGTGTTGATCGTTCATGATCATGAGCAGTTCATGTGCCCAATGGAGGGTTGCCAAGACTGTGGCTCACATCTGAGGCACACAGCCGGGCCCTGGCTGCCTCCCTCCTGTAGGCATGTGGGCTCAGTTGCTGATCACACTGGTGTGTTCCTCGCTCACTATCATGGGCATAGTTCCACCTCAGAAAATACACGTCCACCTCATCTTTTAATGACTCCGTGAGATATCCGTTCATGTCTAGACGCACTCTCCTTTGTTGGGTGGTCTCATTTCACATATGTGCGTTTCCATGCCTCAGCGCCTGCCATCAGTGCCACTCTGACGTTTGCCGTCGTGTGCTCAGGCTGCCAGAAGTGGGACGGGTGCCAGGAGTGGGATTGCGCGGCTGTTGCAGTTCAGAGGCTGCTGGGCCTTGGCAGGTCGCCCTCCAGTAAACGTATTGGTGCCCATTTCTCCATATGCCCTTCCAGTGCTGGGCGCTGTCTTTGTTCTCACTTGGCCAATCTGATGGAACAGTGCAGTGTCCATTTTCAGTTTCATTTCTTGGATGACTAATGACGTGGACTGTGTTTTCATTTGCTTTACATTTCTCATTTTTCAAATTACCTGTTCCGTTCTCTCTGCTCATCTCTTTCTTGAGGAATTAGCGAATATCTTTGTGCAGTGTGGACATGTACCCTTTCTCCCGAGTCTCTTGGCTTTTAATGGCTTTGTTATTTGTTTCAGTTACTTGATGACAGATGACTTTGGGGTAAGACTCACCTTCCTGCCTCATTGGTCAGAATGGGGGACGGCTCACCAGGACCCAGGCCATGTGGGGTGGCTTGGGCAGTTTGGGCTGCTATCATAAAATAACAAAAACTGGTGGCAACCAACAAAACTTTATTTCTCACAGTTGTGGAGGCTGCAAGTCTGAGGTCAGGCGCCAGCATGGTCAGGTTCTGGTGAGGTCCCTCTTCTGGGCTGTAGATGGCCACCTTCTTCTTGTGTCCTTACATGGTGGAGAGCAGAGAGCAAGCTCTTCTCAGGGCTCCTATAAGGGCACTGATCACATCATGAGGGCTCCAGTTTCGTGACCTCATCTAATCCTAATTGCCTCCCAAAAGCTGTATCTCCTAATACCATTGCATTGAGAGTAGGGGTTCAGCATATGAATTTTGGAAAGAACAAATATTCAGCCCATAACATTGGGGTGACCCCCTCCTCAACCTCCCTTCCTTTTTCTGTTCTCAGAGCTCAAGTCATGAACTGCTCAATCCGATTCCCGTAGGGCTGGAGGGTGCAGTTTCATACGGGCACTAGGTGATGGCAATGCTCGGTTCCCCACATGCGGCCACCTGTCTCCACCATGTCAGCGCAGGCACAGTCGTAACATGACACGAGCAGCTCATGTGGAGCAGACAGTGTTGGTGACCCAGGATGTCACTTTTCCGAAAGCGTGGCCTTGGCCTTCTGTTTGCTTAAAGCTTTGCTCATGTGTGATTCCCTGTTTGCCATTGGGACTGACATGTGTTCACCTTTTTCTCTAAATGCCTTTTCTTTTGTCTTGCTGCCTAAAAGAAATGCCAAAGCTTTTTGACAGTAAGGGATGACGGCTCTCGTGTTTTCTACCCTTACCTACTATGGAAAAGAGCCCATCTAAGCATGACAGATGGCCATGTCACCTTTAGCTTAGAAACACCTGAGGTACTGTAATTTTTATTTACATGCTGTGACAGTTGGCTCCGGCTCTGGTTCGAAGCCACCATGTGGAATTAACTTAGCTCTAGCCAGAAAGGCTGTGAAAGTACGCAGTGGGGCAAGAAGCATCAGTGTCCCTAGAATGCTCTGCACCAGGTGACCTGAAGGGCCCTGCTCCCTCCATGCTGGCCACAGGAGGGCAGGTATCCCGCCTGCAGGGAAGGAAGCCTGAGCACCCCATGATCTCCAGGCTGTACCCGCCTTGCCCTCTGCTGTTTGCCCTGTGTGTCCTGTCCTGTCCGGGCCTTGCCCTAATCCTGCTCTCTTTCTTCCAACCTCCTTGCTCCTTTTAGAAATCAACAGCAGTGACATGTCGGCCCATGTCACCAGCCCCTCTGGCCATGTGACTGAGGCAGAGATTGTGCCCATGGGGAAGAACTCACATTGCGTCCGATTTGTGCCCCAGGAGATGGGTGTCCACACGGTCAGCGTCAAGTACCGTGGGCAGCACGTAACTGGCAGCCCCTTCCAGTTCACTGTGGGGCCACTGGGCGAAGGGGGCGCCCACAAGGTCCGGGCAGGAGGCCCCGGCCTTGAGAGGGGAGAAGCAGGAGTCCCAGGTGAGTGTTCTGGGCAGGGTTTTTACTTGAGAAGAGTAACAGTTGAGCTGGGTGATGTGAGCTTCCTGCACCTCTTTGCCCTGTTCTAAAGAGAGACTTCTTATGGGTGGTATTAAGGGGCGTTCTTTAAGACAGGGTTTCTGTGGCCAAATAAGTCTGGGAATTGCTCGTTTGCCCAAAGCTGAAGAGGTTTGTTACTGAGGGACTTCTTGGAGGCTGTACCCTCCTAGTGTGCATCTGAGTCTCTGCAAGGGGAGCAGAGTATTGAAGCTGTATCCTGAGCATCTCGCAGGGCTAATGTTCTGTGGAATGCACTAGAATGCTGCAAAACTGATTTGAAGGGTCCCTTTCCATGGTGGCTGCTGGTGGGATGATTTGAAGGGAAAAACTGAACATTCTCAACTTTTTCTGGGTTGGTTTATTCGAAAGACATCAGAGTTCCCATGAACTTAGTAATCACTGATGGTGCTTAGGAAACCTTAGCTATGGCCTCGCTTGGGTTCTGCTTGGGGTCAGAGAAGGAGGAAAGGGCTGGCAACAAACTAAACCTAGCACTGCAGGTTTGAACTTCTTGAAGAGGGGCTGGGGCTCTGCTGGGCTTGTCACTAACCAAGTGTTTCTTTGCTCTCAGCGGAGTTCAGCATCTGGACCCGGGAGGCAGGTGCTGGGGGCCTCTCCATCGCTGTCGAGGGCCCCAGTAAGGCTGAGATTACTTTTGATGACCATAAAAATGGGTCGTGTGGTGTGTCTTACATTGCCCAAGAGCCTGGTATGTACTCAAGGGTCCACTGAGGACATTTTCCTTGTTTGTGGATGGTTATGTGTAAGGAACAGAAACCCCAAAACTAACTCAAGTAAATGAGGCATTTATGTGTATGGGCCCATGGGAGAGCCTCCTAGAAATCCAGTTGCAGGAAATACAGTCAAGCCTCCAGTGGCTAGGAATTCTTGTTCTTGTTGTCTCTTGTCTTTCTGTGTTGGTCTCTCTCTCTGCCCACCCATGGCCTGTGGCTGGTGTGGCTGCCCCACGAAAGTGGCTTCAGCATCTGAGTTTCCTAGAGCAGGGGTTCTTAACCTTTTGTGTGCCATGGCCCCTTGTGGCATCTGGTAAAACCTATGGGGATCATTCTTAGGATAATGTTTTGAAACACATAAAATAAAATAACATCAGATTCTAAAGGAAATTAATTATATTAAAATATAGTTATCAAAATCTTGCAAGAACAAATATGCAACATAGCAACATGTGCATATATTCATTAATATTTTAAATCATAAGATTTGGTGACAGTATATTAACTACCTTAATTTCAAAGTAGTGGTGAGTATAAATGACATGTTAAGATATCTGTAAAACTTTAAGATGATATAAAAATATTTGTGGGTTTTTTGTTTTTTGTTTTTTTTTTTTTTTTGGTGCTACAATCTCAGGCACTTCTAATATGCTATGATTTCTTGTCAACATTTCTAAAGAAAGGAAATGCTAAATTTGAGTTAGAGATTAGTGAAAATAAAGATGTAATTATTTCCCATTCAAGTCCATGCATCTCCTGAATTCTATACACAGACATTTTGGGGACCCTGTGGACCCAGGTTAAGAATCCCTGTTCTCAGCAGGTGACCCACTCTCAACCAGTCAGCCGTGGCCATCAAAGAAGCAAAAGGCCACTCTAGAACCACCTTTCCAGAATCTCTGAAATGATGGGACTTTCCTGTCCCAACAGGTAACTACGAGGTGTCTATCAAGTTCAATGATGAGCACATCCCCGAAAGTCCCTACCTGGTGCCTGTCATCGCGCCCTCCGACGACGCCCGCCGCCTCACTGTTATGAGCCTTCAGGTGAGGCGCAAGAAAGCATCCATCTCCTTGGCCACAGGCCGATCAGCAAGACCCCTGGACTCCTGAGGCCGCTTCAATCCCCCCTTGGGTGCCAAGGGCCCTGTTCACAAAGGGGAGCTTTCCCATGGCAGAGCCAACTCACCACACACTTAGGGCAGAAGACAGTTGGAGCAAGCAAAAACAGAGCCACAGTCAACAACACACCTCAACGTTTGGGGACAAGTTTGTTTTTAAGTATTTATTTAAGAGGAACAAAGGAAGCCTGTTAATAATTGGTTAAGGGATAAGGAGGGCTTTCAAACAAAATTAACCGTCCAGTGATGTTTAGCCTGCTGTTGTCACCTGCCTTTTCCTCAGAAAGTCAAGTGCAATGTATTTATAGTAGTGTGCAAGGAACTATGTTAAGAACTTTATCCATGTTAGTATGGGGCAGAATGAGGTCTCTGTGGTTCCAGAACTGTGCTTTTAACTGCAGCCTCCTTAATCCCCACCTTGACATTGTGGCCAGTGGTTGCATAGCCCAACCTACTGGGATACCTGGAGGTGTAACTTTTCACCCTTTTTAAAAAGGTCATTTAATTCAAGGCTGCATCAGCACCTTCAGCCAAGCTAAGATCCACTGAGGATGCCTCTGGGCCTTTGCTCAGGACACTGAAAAGTAATTAGGCGTCTGAACCAACAGTAGTGATTAAGTTATGGGATAACACCTAAAATATGATTTCTGGTTAAGGGGGTTTCTAAATGGCTGTCAGCTGCCCCAGTTCTTGAAAATACTAGGTTTATTGAAATTCAGTCTCTCAGACTGGTGATGTCATTGAATCTAGTTCCATACACTAGGTTTATATTTGAGATTCTAACCTCACTCTGAGGGGAATTTGGATTCTACTAAATTGTTGCAAAACATTAGTCTTTCGTTTAAAGACCCAGACAGAACCCGAACCAGAATCACAGCCCACAAATTGAAGAGGCCTCATCTGGAGAGTACCAAGGGTACTAACTGGTCACCGTGGTGTAGATGTTTTTCTTGTGTTTCATTTAAAGACTTCTTAACAGAAGTTGATTTTGTGGTCGATTTAACTAAAACCTATGGAGGGAGATAAACCCAGTATTTGTGAGGGCAAATACTGCCTTCATGCATCTCGAAGATTTCTTTCGGATCTTCCGAGGTGTTTATCTCCCTCTTGAGGATTTTAGCAGCAAGCGGATTCAGGTAACGTAAATGATTCTGTCCAAAAGGAGCTGGTTTGGAGAAATCCTCTCCAGAAAACTTCTCTGTAGAGTCCTCTCATCACAGTTCAGTCATAAATATTTCAGTGAGTGTGTAGCAGGCTCTACATCAGGCTTCTGTAAGCAGCTGCTACAGCAGGAGGGACGTGTTTGTCAGCATTGTTCCTGCTCTTCCTGGGTCATTTGATGCCAAGTGATATGTAAATTATTTATCAGAGACTTAGTGGAGGCCTGTACAGCAACATCTGGTGCTGGTTAGGAAAGAGGCATGTATTGTTTTGTCTTGCTTTTGAGACTTTTTAGAAAATTGGAGTCAGCTAGCTCTTTATGGGGGAGGGTGTGGGATGGGGGTGGGTGATTTGGTGATCAAAGACTTCTTAATTTTGTGTTCTGTGTTCCCTTCCCAGTCTGTAACCTCTAGGGCAGCACAGTCCAGTGGAACATTCTACAACGATGGAAATTCCCACATCTCCACTGTACAGTACGGTAGCCACTAGCCACATGTGGCTACTGAGCCCTTGAAATGTAGCTAGAGTAACTCAGGAGCTGAATTTTTAATTTTATTTAATTGTAAGTGCTTTAAGTGTAAGAATATATATATAGCCAGTTCTGAATTAGGCAACACAGCTTTAGGGCCTTGCTACTAGTATGTGGTCTTTAGACCAGCACCCTTGGCATCACCTGGGAACTTACTAGCAATGTAAAATCCCACCCAGGCCCCATCCTAGACCCACTGGATAAGAACCTGCATTTTAACAAGATCTCCAGGGGATTTGCCTGACATAGAGTGTGAGCCCTGCTGCTTCATTTATCATCTGAGAAGTAGCTGTCCAACCACTTTTAAATCAAAACTGCTGACTTTTAAAATTTGGCTATTTGGAATTGGCCAATCTTAAAATATCTAACATGTTGCTGCTCCTAAGCATTATTCCTAAGCATCTGAGTTTTTAATCCCCTCCTCCCAGAAGGGGATGAAGTTTCTAAGACAAAACATGGGGAGTGAAACTGATCCAGGGAAGAGCAAAAGCTACACTTGTCCCTGTTGCTTTTTTTGTAGGGGAGGTGGGAACAGACAACTTGTAAATGTGTATTAATATTTAAAAGTAAACTGACAATTTTGAGCCAGGGCCTGTACTGAGTGCTTTACATACATAACTTCACTCGATTCTCAGCAGCTCTCTGAGACAGATTCAGTTATTCTTCCCGTTTTACAGATGAAGAAACTGACACTCAAAGAGGTTTAACAACTTAGTTACATAGCTAGGAAATGGTAGTAAACCCAGGTCCATCAGATTCTTAACTGCTGTGCAGTACTGCTTACCTTGCCTGTGTAGCCCTTTGCAATTTTATTGAAAGTTCTCTCCATTTCTACTCTTGAGATAAAAAAGCAATGATATAAACTTCGTCCATGTTAGTGAGTACATGGTTTTTGTCAGCCGCCAGACTCCTCTTAAAAGAGGATCTTACTTTTTTGACCTGGAAGATACTGGGTTTTCCAGCCTCTGCTGGTCTTGTTTGGGATGCTGAAACTAAAGTCCTATTGACCAGGGTGTCTCAAATCTCTAAACCCAGGAGCTATCTCTTTCAGCCTGCATTGAGATGGTTTGTGTACAAGACCATGCAGATTTGTGTCTCTGCTTTCTTATACTTTCTGCTAGAAATGTGGATGGACCCACCTGCTCTTCTGTTGTTAGATGTTACGTGGAAAAATACTTTGGGCCCATTTGCATGAGAACTGTCACCTGGAGTCTCAGGTTGGGTCAGCGTGTGCCACTGAGCAGGAAAACTGAGGGCCATAACCTGTTTATTAAATTCTCAGGAATCAGGATTAAAAGTTAACCAGCCAGCATCCTTTGCTATAAGGTTGAATGGTGCAAAAGGCAAGATTGATGCAAAGGTGCATAGCCCCTCTGGAGCCGTGGAGGAGTGCCACGTGTCTGAGCTGGAGCCAGGTGAGCAGGGGGCCCTGGCAGGGGAGGGGGTGTCCCCAGCACCAGTGTTCTTCAGCAGAATGTTCCTGCAAAGGTGTATCCCAAAGGAGGACTAATTAGTCTCATGACTGCCAGTGAGCCTTTGAGTTCCCTTTGCAGTTGCCAGACATTATTTATAAATTAGGGTATAAATATTGGCCAAGGACAGTGAGAACCTTTACTTTGGGATAGAATTCCCCTTTCTTTTCTTTTTCTTTTTTAAAATAAATGCTGCTTTATTTTCTGTTAGTTTTGCAGATTCTTTTCACATGATATTCATTGTGATTTTTCTCTCATTTTAATAAAATCTTACAGATTTTTATTTCATTGTTGACTTTATGACATGAGTAAGTACACTTTGGTTTCACTTAACTCTGAGGGAAAGGTAAATTTAAAAATGAGAGTTTGGGTCTCTAAGGGCTTAATATCCTGAGATTTTCTTGTCCAGTGCCTCGTTATGGAATTCCGTGATATCAAGCAACGTTAAAGAGACCATTTTGTCAGTGAACATTTATTAAGTGTCAGAGACTTGACAGGAAGATGAGGCTGAGGAATACATGATTCCTGCCCTCAAAGAGCTGCTCAGAGTTTAGTGAGGACATGGCCCAAACCCTGCAGCGCACTGGTGATGACCCCAGGTGATCACCGGTAACCGCAGGAGAATTGAGAAGCAGATGGTGAAGATGGTCAGCGGTACAAAGAATTGGCTTCTTCCTCAGGCAGGGTCAGGAGGGCCTCTCAGAGGAGGTGACATTTAATATGTACTTTGATGTGTGAGGAGGAGACCTGCTCTTACTGGCCATTTGCCATTTATGTGGCTATGTGTCCAATGAGGGTAGAAATCTAGGATCTGGGTTAACATTTAGACATCTTTCTCCTGCTGGGCGGAAAGGGCAGTGCGAAGCCTCAGAAGGAACAAATGTGGGACATGGGTCCCCTGATCAGATCTTGGTTTAAGTATGGCCACATCAGAGAGAATGTGTTGGAACATCTGAAAGGCAGAGTGGCAAGGTGATGCTCCCAAGAGGGGTCCATTTGAGAGAACAGAATTAGTGGCACTGGAAATGGGGATGAGGGCCTCGAGGCCAGAGCACTTGGTGACCTGTAGCTTAGTGATGGGGTAGAAAGAGGATAATGCAGTTAGCAGAACTGAGACAGCCAGTTAGAGGGTGGCGAGGGTTGGTCAGGTCCTGAAAGAGTTCAAGATTTTATTTTGGAGGGTTTTGAAGTATCTCCCAGATATCCAAGTGGGGATGTTTAATATTTAATAGGTCACTATGGCATGAGGCTTAGTATTAAGTTAAGCTTGGTGTCCTCAGCCTTAGGTACTGTTCAAAGCCCGAGGGGTGTCTGAGATCACCAGAGTGCCACTGTGAGGATACTGTTGGTTGCAAATTACAGAACATCCAACTCGAGCCAACTCACACAATAAAGGGGGTGTGTTCATTCACTTAACTGGAAAGTTCAGAATCTAAAGTGGGCCTCAGCAAGGACTTAATTCAGCTGTGTCCTCAGTATCTCTGCTCTTTCTTCTGCTTTGTGGGCCTCATTCTGAGGCTGGCCTGGCCTTCCTCTTGGTGACAGGATGGCTGCAGCAGCACCAGACTTCTCATATTCACACCACACCAATCACAAAAGACATCCTTTCCTCAGGATTCTTTCTCAGAAGTCTGAGAGGCTCCTTTCTCAGAAGTCTCCAGAAAACCTCCCCTCCCACCTCACTGAACTGGGACACATGCCCATTTCTGAGTTACTTCCTGTAGCTGAAGAAAACCTCATGCAAACTGATTTTGGCTTGAGGAAAGACGGATTTTCCCTGATCCGGTCAGGGACCACGCCTGGACTTGGGGGTGGAGTCAGCTTCCCCTGAAGCACATTGGCTTTGAGAGAGGAGGAGTGAATACCCAGCTGGGGGTTGTTGGGGGAAGCCCAGTGATGAAGGACATAGGGCAGGTTCATGTAGACACGCCTTGGTGAGGAGTACCAGAGGGGAGAGAGAGGAGAGTTTGGGTCGAGCTTTGGGGAACACAACTTATAAAGGGGATGAAGGGTCCAGTGAGCCAGGGAGGGGCTGAGAGGCTGACTGGAGGGCAGGCTGTCTGCATCCCAGGCAGGAGGTCTTCCAGGAGGATGCGAGGGTCAGGTGGCACACAGTGGGTGGATATTCTAGGTGCCTGTTTCAGTTGAATTATCCTGGCACATGCCATGACCCAAACACACAGCAAAACCCACCCTGTGGGGCAGTTGATAGCTTTGAGCTAATGAAGAAGCATTAATTCCAGTGGGAACCATTTTTTTCCCCTTCAAATGGCCAAGAAGAGAACCGTGAGAAGTGGGTTTTCATAAAGGAGGGAAGTTTTCTTCTCAGGCAGGGGTCAGAGGATTCAACATAGAATTTGAGATTTGGATCAGGGGTCAGAGGATTCAACATAGAATTTGAGATTTGGATATGTTTCCCAAAGTGCTGATTAAGGAGCATACAAGTAGACCCATCTGGCTTTGAAATCCAGCGTACTGTGTGCCAGGCTCTCAGTAGCACTGTTGTTTTTTAGATGATTTAAAATTGGCTGTCTTGGGTTGGCCTGCTGTCCTATGTCCTCGCCTAACTTGGATGTGTCTGTTGGCTGGTTTTACCCTGTGCCTTTGCTCACTCTCCTAGACAAATATGCTGTTCGCTTCATCCCTCACGAGAACGGCATCCACACGATCGATGTCAAGTTCAACGGGAGCCACGTGGTTGGAAGCCCCTTCAAAGTGCGTGTTGGGGAGCCTGGACAAGCAGGGAACCCTGCCCTGGTGTCTGCCTACGGCGCAGGGCTTGAGGGGGGCACCACAGGTAACACACTCCTCCACATCACATCTTTAACTGAGCCAGCTCCAGGGACGAAGGCAGGTATATCCCTTCAAGCCCTGTGGAAGCCTTTTATATGCTCTCCCAGGGAAACTGGAATAACACACAGTTTGGAGGCTCACGCCATTTAGAGTTGTTTTGGGAGATGTGGTTTGACCCTCGGTAAATCCAGAGTGAGGGCTCCACGGCTGTGTTTTCACACCTCCTTATTGTTTGTTGTGGGTCTGATGTCTTCCTTCGCCAAGTTTTTTGACCTTAGGGACAGGACGCTGATAGTTGGGTAAAACAGCAGAGTCATTCGTTTGAGGGTTTCTTTGCCTGTCCAGAATTCATGACGCATCTAACGGGCCTCCTGGGACTTCTCCTACTGTCGGTTCCTGTAGTGGTCCCCAGGCTCCCAGAAACGTGTTGATGTGGCAATAGGGCCTGTCGCAACCCATCTCCTCCTCCTCCTCTTCTCTGATCCTAATGGAGGAGAAAAGACTGAACCAGTCAAAGAATTCTGAAGCTTTTTGGAAACGTTACAATTTGTTTTAACTTTTACCACTGACGGGACATGTTTGATTGTGGAAAATACAGGCAGTGTAGAGGTATATAAAGTGACACTTTGTCTCCTTGCTTCTGCCCCTCCCCCATCTAGGTCTGGAGTAAACACCGCTCATAGGACGGGGGGACCTTCTCACTGTCTGTCTTGGTTGCTGGGTTGGAAGCTAGTTGGTTCAATACACTGGCAAACACATAGTTTTGCTTTTATTTTACAAAAGTAATCTTATTGCACATATTGTGGTGCAGCTTGCTTTTTTACCTTGACATCTTAGAGATCTTTCTGTGTCAAAGCACACCAATCTTCCCCCTCCTTAAGGGCTGCCGTTAGTATTCCTACCATGAACCATAAGTCATTTGACCAGTCCCCTAGAGGTAGGCAGAGTGTCACTGTTAGGGAGGATGCTGGGGTGGGGAGCTTGTCCTCTTAAGGCTTCTCTGCAGGGGAAGTCCACAGTGTGGACTCACTGGGACACGGTTTGCATTTGATGTTACTTTGGACCCTCTTAGGACATCAGCCTGTCCTGGTTTCTTACGTCCCTTGTGTGTGCACTCTTGGTCTCCCCTCTGATAAGGTGAGCGGGATGGAGCAGACTCGCCTCTCTGAGGGTGAGGGGATGAGTGCCCACAGTGCCAGTATCCAGGCACAGGGAGCAAGTGTCTTATGTGGTCAAGGGGCTCTGCCCAGGTGTAGGAGTGACTGATGTGCTGGCATGTTGCCTGGAACTCTGGCCAAAGAAATGGCCTCAGCAAAACCACCCACAGTGGTGGTGTGAGTGCTGCCAGACCTCCTAGGCAAATCCAGTCTGGCTCCACACTGAACTCTGGGCCAGCAGCGAATGGCATGGTATCATATCGCCCTAGGTGACATCCATTTTACAGATGAGGAAAGTGAGACAGACAGAGGTTGAGTCATTCCGTAAACATACTCAGCTAAGAGGAGGCGGAACCAGGAACCAGTCTAGGCCCATGACCTCAGAGCCTGATCCCTTAAACCCCAAGCTTTGCTACCTCCCTGAGTGACTCACCCCAAAGCAGTAACTGTACCCCCAACTTGCTTTATGGGGTGTCCTAAACCAGGACCCCTGTCCTCCCAGCCGACCTGGAGGGGTTCCAGGCAGTAGTGCAGGCATTTGTCCCCTTGCAAGCCACTCACCATCAAGGGCCCATGTGGGTCCTCCTGGCACTTGGAGCATATAGTAGGCCTTGGTCCAGGCCCCACAGCAGCTGCCAGGGTCTCCCATGATGGCCAGGAGCCACCTTACCCTCCTGCTGGCTCATGCTGGCTGTACCTAGGGCCCTCTCCCACTTCCTCTTGGTGGTTTGCACACCTTGGGAGCTCAGGTTTCAGGCTGTGCTTTGCAAGTGCTGGATGCTGCCGAGAAGGAGCCGGTCTTGCAGGGAGGCTCCCAGCCAGGAGGGGAGAGGTACAGAGCACGCCTGTTTCAAACCCTGTGTAAATATTGGTCTTGTTAAGAGGAAGGTGGCTTATTTTTCTAGCCCTCCCGCTCCCAAGCCTTTCCCCAAATACCCGTCCTGAGATTACACAGCTGCAGTGTGAGTGAAATGAAAAGGTATCTGTGCATGCCCGCTGAAGGGCTCAGCACCCTGACCCTCTGAACAAAGCAAACTTCCCTGTGTTTTTATGGGAGGGTTTGCTGTATCTCTTGGCTTAAGCTTTCAATGGTCCTTTCTGTAGATTCTGCAGCAGGGGAATGTGGAGAATTTGGGGCGGGACTCTGCCGGAGGGGCAGTTGAGAGGTCAGGAGTTGGACCAGGGAGTTCCAACTCTTTGGAGCAGCTAAACAATTTTCCTGATGCAATGGTCCAGGAAGCCCAATACGCACAAGGCGTGGCAGAAGAGCCTCCCTTCCCTGCCTCTGCTCCTCGCCTGCCTTTCAGATTGAGGAGTGATACATTAAACATTCATTAAACTCACAGGAACTCAGCCAGATGGGGGCAGGAGGGGAAGACCACCATGCCCAGAGATTGTTTTGTGGCGTCAGATATTGGTTACAGCTGGAGACAGTGGTGAGCGACTCCTGCATGTGGATTTTCTTCCTCCTGCCTCCTCTCAGACAAGTCGCCTTTGCTCCAAGTTGGACAGACCTTATATTTAAATCCAAGTTCTGCTGGTCCCCAGCTGTGTGACTCTGGATGAGTTATTTGACCCCACCGTGCCTCCATGTCCTTAACTGTGAAATGGGAATGATAAGGGAGCTCACCTAATGGGCTGGTTCTGAGCCTTAAAGGAGTTAACAACAAAGTAGTGCTTGTCCCGTAATTCCTGTCTTCCCTTTTCCCATCTCATCTCCCCTGCCTTTTTGGGCCCTCATAGTCAGGATGAACTGATTTTCTAAGGAATGAAGCAGCTTGTTCAAAAGGATAGAGCTTCTTTTCACTGCAGCCAGGTCTTTTCAACTTCTTCACTTTAAAAATATCTTCCCATATAGTTGCCTTCCAGCTACTTCCTGGACACGCCGTCCCCTTGTTGCTCCCCTCCCCCCATCCCATGCAGCCCCAGCAGCTGCTGCTTGAGGGTATGAAGCAGCTTGTTCAAAAGGATAGAGCTTCTTTTCACTGCAGCCAGGTCTTTTCAACTTCACTTTAAAAATATCTTCCCATATAGTTGCCTTCCAGCTACTTCCTGGACACGCCATCCCCTTGTTGCTCCCCTCCCCCCATCCCGTGCAGCCCCAGCAGCTGCTGCTTGAGGGGAGACAGTGGTGAGCGACTCCTGCATGTGGATTTTCTTCCTCCTGCCTCCTCTCAGACAAGTCACCTTTGCTCCAAGTTGGACAGACCTTATATTTAAATCCAAGTTCTGCTGGTCCCCAGCTGTGTGACTCTGGATGAGTTATTTGACCCCACGGTGCCTCCATGTCCTTAACTGTGAAATGGGAATGATAAGGGAGCTCACCTAATGGGCTGGTTCTGAGCCTTAAAGGAGTTAACAACAAAGTAGTGCTTGTCCCGTAATTCCTGTCTTCCCTTTTCCCATCTCATCTCCCCTGCCTTTTTGGGCCCTCATAGTCAGGATGAACTGATTTTCTAAGGAATGAAGCAGCTTGTTCAAAAGGATAGAGCTTCTTTTCACTGCAGCCAGGTCTTTTCAACTTCTTCACTTTAAAAATATCTTCCCATATAGTTGCCTTCCAGCTACTTCCTGGACACGCCGTCCCCTTGTTGCTCCCCTCCCCCCATCCCATGCAGCCCCAGCAGCTGCTGCTTGAGGGTCTTCTCAGCTGCACAGACTGGATTCCATGACAAGTTTGAGATGGGGTGGGGGGATCTTGGGATAGGAGCCTCAGGAACTTCCAGAAATAGCTAGGTGGTGTTTGGGGGTCGCACAATAGCAGCTCCTTTGTTTTATTGATAACCAGAACAACAATTCTTTCTCTGGCCTAGGAGCTGTAATTAAACCAAATATTTTCCAGCTGGGGCGGCATCTAGGGCTCTGGCAAGAACATAGCCCTGCATGGGGATGCTAGGCCAGCGATGCCCCACAGAGGGCACTGTGGCAGGCATGCGGCTGGTGTCTGGACACCCAGATGACCCCCACTGAACACCCCTCTGGACTGGAAAGGGCACTGAGAGAGTGGGGGCTTTTGTGGAGCAGTAGGCTCAGCAGGAATGCCTCTGTGGTCATCGGTTGGCACTGTCTTTTGGCCCAGCTTTCCTTTCATTATGAGGCAAGATGTCTGTGCAGGACGTCCTCACTGGGCCAGCCAAGTGGTCGGTGTCTGGGGGTTGCAGTTAGGGTGTGAGGCAGGCAACTGTTCCCACTCAGTGGCTAAGAGACATGCCTGCGTGCCAGAGCCGTGCGGACGTGGTTCAGAATCCAACTCTATCACCTTCTGGTTGTGTAGCATGACTGGCAAGTAGCCGAAACTCCCAGAGACTCTGTCATTTGTGAAATAGGAGTCACTGTGAAAGGATTCCGTGCCACATGCATGTAAAATGAAGCTTAGCACAGGGTCTGGAGCCTATGTGGGCACATGTGCTCAGTTAGCAGGAGTTGCTGTTTTGCCCTGTGCTTGTTGCTGGTGTTCATGACAAAGTGGGTAGCTGGCAGGTCACAGCGGCTGCCCTAGTCTTTAGCATGGTGTCTGGGGTCAGGAGCCTGAGGAGGAGGGGAGGAGACACCGGGACCCACATTTCCCCCACCCCTCTGGAGGCCGAGCTGGACGCTGGAGGCTGAAGTAGCACTTTAGGCTCACAATGTGACTCACTCTTCTCGCCTTCTGCCACGGCTCATATTCAGAGGAGAGAACAGGGTGTTCAGGCATCACTGGTGGGCGAAATGTCAGCCGCTCTCCTGCCTTGGCCTTGGGAAGGCACTTCCACCCCCCAGGGCCTGTGGTTCTGTGCCAGGAGCTCAGAGCTAGTACCAGTAGGTTCCAATGCCAACAGGAAACCTCCCCCTCTACCCGCAATGAAGGAACCTGTGTGTCCCCCACCACTGCTTCAGTGCCCCTGGGAATGCCCCCCAAACCATGCCCTTCATCCCTCCAAACCATTCACATGGCATTCCCTCTACCTTTCTCCCAGGTATCCAGTCCGAATTCTTCATCAACACCACCCGAGCAGGCCCAGGGACATTATCTGTCACCATTGAAGGCCCGTCCAAGGTTAAAATGGATTGCCAGGAAACCCCAGAAGGGTACAAAGTCATGTACACCCCCATGGCTCCTGGAAACTACTTGATCGGTGTCAAATATGGTGGGCCCAACCACATCGTGGGCAGTCCCTTCAAGGCCAAGGTGACAGGTAACCACCAACCACCTTTGGGATTATTCTCCTTCTCTGTGGAGCTGATCTTGTCAGATTAACAATAGTAGAAATTATTGATGATTTTAGAGATGTTGAATCTACTTTGAATCTTGAATGTAAAGAAATAGTACGACATGTCAAAGGGCTGTGTGTGTTAGAAACTTGCAAAATAAGCCTGCAGAGTGGGGTGTGTCTAAGTTGAGCAGTCATGTTAGATGGTTTTCTGTCTCTAACAGTAAGAAAGAAGTGTTTACATATTTGAAATCTTGTGTATGTTATTAGATCAGGGCCTGAAAGATGCCCTTATTACTAACCTGAATTGTAGAACTATAAAAGTTTTATAAAATATGTAAACATGTGCCTACTCCAAAAGACTGGAAAAAATACCAAAGAGTAAAAAACTCCTAACAGCCACCACCATAAATACTGAGATAAATCCCTTCCATGTGTCGTGATTCACTGTCATATAAGTACAAGGGTACCTCACAAAGGTCACAGAAAAACTGAATTGAAAGATAATACAAATTTCCATGAACTTTTTGAAGTACCCTCATAGTATAGTTTTATTGCAGAAAAACTAGAAAATGCAGATAGAAAAATCATCTTTGCTTATGCGGAGCATTTTTGATATTTTGCTCCATGTCCTTCCAAATTTTTACACTGCTTTTACACAGAGTACTTTATATAAATGGAAAGATGGGAATTCTACAGGGTGGCACATCTTTATGTGGGAGGGGTCTCTAGGCCTTGTCTGCCAAGACCAGATTTGCCTATTTGCCCAGAAAGCCAGATCCTAGTAGTATGGGGTAGGACCTTAAAGGTCTAAGGAGACATGGACGTGAGATGGGGTGTGGTAGCTTTTGTTTCTGGGTGTTGGGGAATGGGGCTGTCTTGGGCTTCTTTGTGAGGCATGCGCCTATCCTCTGGTTGAGAGACTCTCTTGGTCTGGTCATTCACGCCTCCCTCCCATGTCCCAGGCCAGCGTCTGGTCAGCCCTGGCTCAGCCAATGAGACTTCCTCCATCCTGGTAGAGTCGGTGACCAGGTCCTCAACGGAGACCTGCTATAGCGCCATCCCCAAGTCATCCTCTGATGCCAGCAAGGTGACCTCCAAGGGGGCAGGGCTGTCAAAGGCCTTCATGGGCCAGAAGAGCTCCTTCCTGGTGGACTGCAGCAAAGCCGGTAGGCAGCGTGGGCCTGCTTGAGGGGGGTGGGGGCAGTGGCCACCTGAGCACCTTTATATACTTTGGCCTTCCCTACTGAAGTCTTTTTGCAGTGCCTACCCCATGTAACCCAATCATTTGCAGGTAACCATGTGTATTACCCTATTCTTTTACACTTACTACTGTATTTTTAAATGATTTTCTTCTCTTTTACCTCTTGATTCTTTCACATGACCTCAAGGTAGGTAGGAAAGGTGGCATTATCCCCATTACAGATGAGCAAACTGATGCACTAGCCCAGCCCCTTCTGTGCTACTGATGGGTCTTATTACAATTTTTTTGTTTGTTTATTCATTAATATTATTATTTTTTTACATTCTGTAATGTTGCGGAGCAATCAAAGGTGGCATTATCCCCATTACAGATGAGCAAACTGATGCACTAGCCCAGCCCCTTCTGTGCCACTGATGGGTCTTATTACAATTTTTTTGTTTATTTATTCATTAATATTATTATTTTTTTACATTCTGTAATGTTGCGGAGCAATCGTGGGGGAGAGGGAAGGGGGAAGGAAATAGGTTGGGAGAAGGAAGAAGGAGGAGGGGTGGGGTTGATGCCTGTGACGCCCTACCCCTCATTCCTGCAGGGGGGACCGGGGGTCTAATTGCAGTTTGAACTTGGGTATTTATTTGTGTGTCATTAGTCAGTTGCCCGGGTTCTGACGTCCAGCACACCTTGATCTAACACTTCATTCATTCATTCATTCATTCATTCATTCAATTCATTCCTTCATTCACAAAACTTATTAGCCATGTGACCTTGGGCAGGTCATTCTAAAGTCAGTTTCTCCTTTTCTCAGTGGAAGTAAAAATAGTACCTTCCTTCAGGATCTTGTGAGAATAAATGAGAAGATCTTAATAGCCAACACTTACCTCGCCCTTACTCTGTGCTAAGGGCTTGACACAAAACAACTCCTATAAACCTACGACAGGCTCATTAGGTAGGTGCTGTTGTCATCCCCTGTTTACAGATGGGGAAGCTGAGGTAGGGAGAGGTGAAGTTCCATGTCCAGGGTCACCTGGGTAGGAAGTGGCAGGGCAGGGATTTGAACTCACACCATCAGGCTCTGTGATCTCTGCTCATAATCACCACACTCCCACCTCTCAAGGGGCCCCAGCATCATGGTAGATGCCCGTGTCCCCCATGCCTGCCTTGCTGCATGGGGATGGAGTAACCACCTTCTCTTTTCCTGCCTCCCAGGTTCCAACATGCTGCTGATCGGGGTCCATGGGCCCACCACCCCCTGCGAAGAGGTCTCCATGAAGCACGTGGGCAATCAACAATACAACGTCACATACGTGGTCAAGGAGAGGGGGGACTATGTTCTGGCCGTGAAGTGGGGGGAGGAGCACATCCCTGGCAGCCCCTTTCATGTCACAGTGCCTTAAATGGTTTTCACCAAATCCTGGGAGGAGTTTTTGTGGTTGTTTTTGTTGCTTGTTTGTAATTCATTTTATACAAAGTCCTCCAGCCTGTTTGTGGGTCTGAAACCCCATCCCTAAAACATTGCCATTCTAAAGTGCCTTCAGAAATAAGTCCTCGAATGGACTCTTGGAGGGATGTGTTGGGGAATCTTAAGAAATGCAAACTCGTTCAATGGGTGGAGAAGATCCTGCATACACTCGGTTCCGATCAGAGCTCTTGGTGGCACAGATCCGTCACTGCGGACAGACCAAGAACATGGGCAAGACTGTTTTTATGAAATGAAATTGGCTAGGCTAAGCTACTGGTTCACTCTGCAGCATTTAAGAAATAAGACTGTGGGGAGGGGGACAGAGAAAAAGAAGAGACCTGGTATAGGTTGCCATTTAGCAAAGGGGATGGCTTAAAAGCAGCTTAATCTGTTCCAGTGCCCACATTATGTAAGAAAAGGCTGTTTGTTAGGTAGCTGCTGCCTTGTTTTAACACTACTTGTTACCAATCCCCCCATGTTCTGTCACCTTCTTAGATTTCTCAAAGGCAGAGTGTATGTGGTAGCAACTGGCCTGATGGCTTCCTGGTGCCTCTCCTTTTATTCTAGGATTTTAAAAAAATTTTTTGCAGAGTCATAACCTGTGACCATCTTAGCAGCCATGTTTTTGCTTTTGTTTTTAAAGCCTGTTTCAGTCACTTGGTCTGAAGAAATTCTGCAGTGGCGAGCAGCACCCCACTTGCCAAAGATCCCTTGTAACCAACACTAGCCCTTGTTTTTAACACACGCTCCAGCCGTTTGTCAGCCTGGCGAGTCTTACCAAAACGTTTAAAGTGCCCTCGGCACAGAGTTATGTCATGTGACATACACCCCGCCCACTCCCAGCCAGCCTTGTGGGTCACATTTTCTGGAAAATAATTATTAGTATAGATAGGAAGTCGGGGAATTGTTGAGGGGAGGGAAGGGAGCAGCTCATCAGTGGTCTTTTTACCATTTGGCAGAAACAGCAAGAGCTGCGTAGTTGATGGTGGCATGTATTTGGCCATGACCACATGTCATCTGAGGCTGTTTAGAGAGCAGTAGGCAGGTGCAAAATTTCAAAAATCAGGTGTAGGGCATTTTGCATGCCTTCCTGCAGACCTGAGCTGGCTTTGGGATCAAGTTAAAGTGTTCAGGGACATTGCCTGACAGCAGAACTCAGGTGTGCAGTCAGAAAGGGCAGGCAGACCTTTCTCATTGGCTGCTTAGTCCTGAGGAAGTGGCCAGTGTTGTTGTGGGTGTGGCAGGTGGCACAGTGGTTCCCTGTGCCAAGGTGTAGCATCTGGGGGTGAGTGTTGGTTGCAAAAGCCCACCTGTTAGAAACTGGAGCAGCCTGAAGCCTAATGTGAAAGGACCACAGGCGTTGTAATCTGGGATGCAGAAGCCAAACTGGAATCAAATGCCAACTGTAAATTGTATCCTATAACTTATTAAATAAAACGTTTGCTCCGTAAAATTCCCATGGCGTTCTTGGATGGTGTCATTTCTAAATAAGTGGTTTGAGCCTCTGACCAGTTCTCCCAACCCCTGGCTGAAAGGACACACACAGATTAGCAACTTGTTTGATGATGAGCCTGGCCTCTTTGTGTGAGGAATCTACTTCTCCCAAGAGGCCAGGTGGCCAGATAGGGCTGGGCCTGAGTGGTGAGGGGTGAGAAGGTGGTGTTTGCTGGGGCTTGCCCTCGTTTGCTACTTTCTTCCCCCCTCCCTTCTTTCTCTGTGTCTCCTTGCTGTAAGGAAGAGCTTCTGATTGCAGAGTGCTCAGGACATACCTAGCACCTCACTTCTTCCCAATCCTCACAGCAGTCCTGTGACACCATCTTATGGATGACAAAACTAACTCGGGTGCTGCAATGACATGTTTGCCATCTCAAAACTCACTTGGGGGCAGAACCTAGCTCCCTGGCCTTTTTGATCCCAGAGTGGGAGCTCTTTCCCCTGGTTATACCTCTGTGGAAGCAGGAGCACAGAAGGAAGGGAGGGGGCACAGGAGCCCCTAGATAAGCCTCTGGCAGTTGCCATGGTGATGGGAAGTCCCTGGTGGTCTCTTGATCCTCCAGTCTGGGGATGGTGAGAAAAGTAGGGAAGGGAGGCTCTGGCTCCTTTTTGTTTCTTCTGACACCAGGCTTTTGATCAGGATGGCAATTTGTTTACCTCTGAGAGGTGGGAGGAAGAAGGGTGTTGGGAAGGAGGTCTTCTGCCCGTCCTTCTGGAGGGAGCACCCTAATCTGTGGCCTGTGCCCTGAAGGACTGTTTCCTGCACTATCCCAAGAAGGTACAAAGGCTTTGGGGAGTCCATTCAGGATCTGCCCGGTGGGGTCCAGGCTGTCCTGAGTATGATGCTGGGTTTGCCCGCACAGGGCACAGCCACTGATTTCTCCACCTTCTTGAAGGCTGACGGGTTTCTGTTGAGGGAGGCAGCATTTGTAAGTTAACAGTGTGGACTTTGGCATCAGGTACCCCAGAGCTTAAACACTGGCCCTGCCAATCGCTGGCTATGTGGGTTTGTGGAAGTCGCCTTGCCTCACCTCTCTGAGTGTTCCTTTCTCTGGGTGGTCGAGGGGATCAGATGAAACCCCACTGGGAGCTCTAAGGAACAATTTCCTGCCCAAGTCTCGGCCACCGCTGTCTGTGACTGACACTTACCAGGAGTGATGCTCCTTGCAAGTGTACCTGGGGCTGCACCTGGTGGTCCCCTACATGGGGGCAATGGTGATGTTACCCTAGTGCACATCTTCCTCAAAGCACTGCCACCTGTTCTGTCAAAGACATCTCAAGGTGGAAATCTGTACCTCTCTACTGGTCAATGGCTAGAACTGCAGAGCAACTCTTATCTGCACCTGGACTTGGCTGCTATGGAAACCGGCTGTTGTTTGTGCAAACACCTCGAAAACTTGACCCTGCACAGACCTGGTGCCAGGTCCTTTCCGACTTTCACTGGTTGACTTTGCCCCTTTCCAACCAGGAGCTGACAGGGCCATCACTCTTTAGCCAGCTGCCCTGCAGAGACCCTCAACACGGAAGAGGCCCTGCCTCCTTCCAGGCACAAATGCCTGCCTCTTCCTCATCAGATTTCCCTTTGGAATCCAGGGAAGCACTCACCAGTGATGCTGCCAAGAAGGAAACATTTTATTAACATGTCTTTCTGTTTCCAATGCACTTATAAACACGTGGCCCCTTGACCACATGTCTAGTTTTAGGACTTCAAAGGAGCCTTGAAAGCCACATTTTGATGAGTTTGATGTAAAATGAGTCAGGCGCATAGGGATTTAATTTCCTTGAAAATTGCACAGTCTTAAAAACAGAATGAAGCTTAACAGCAAAATAAGTGCACAATCCTTGTCAACCCCCAAGTTTGTATTTTAAAATGGGTAACAAGATTGTTAATTGAGCCACCTTTTATTCTCAGTATTCGGTCTGATCAAAGTAAGGTCGAGGGAAGGAGTGGAGTCTTTCCAAGTCTCCATGAACCTGGCATGGGGGGGGGGCTTTGTAATCAGAGTATTTCACCAATGAAAACTCTTTCCCAGAAATATATTTTATTCAGATTTTTTTTCTTTTCACAATAGCAAATCATAACTTGAAGAGGGGTGAAAAAATGTCACACTGGAGGGATTGAGGTCTCAAGGCAAGCCTGGATTAGTTTTTCTTCTCTGGCTTTGTCCTGAGGATGCTGCCCAAACACACAGTGGAAAGACTTTCTAAACAAAGGGATCCTTCTCTGCTGTGTGGTAAGGCTTTTGTCTGGACCCCCAAGCCCATGGGGACCAGCTCACGTGCATGGAATTTAGGGGACTCACCTCACATCCCTCTTCCCCTTTTTCTCTCTTCTTGAAGAGTTCTCAAAAGCAGGCAGAAAATGGGGGATTTAAGCGCCTGACGGGTGGCACCTATCCAAGAGTGTTTCACGTCTCGGACTTGCTTGTCTCACCAGGACAAAGCTCATAGATGAAAGAATCTGCAAGCCTTTCATTGCCCACGTTTCCCCCTCCGCTGTGACCACTCCCTTCCCAGGGTACCCAGACGCCTCTCCCTGTCAGGGGCTGCCCTCCCTTTCCAGACAGTGGACATTCTGAGGGCAAGGCTGATGCTGCACCCTGATGGGGTGATCTCAGAGAAGGAAACCTTAGCAGAGGTGCCAAGTCCCAGAAATGCCTGCTTCAGGCCCAGCTTCATGCAGCCTGCTTCGATATCAGTAAGCAGAATAACCTCAGTAACTAGTGTGTGAGAAAGCAGTGGGTCAGATGTCACAGGATCCAGTTTGGATTCCACTCCCAGCGCTGCTGCTTACCAGCTGAGACACCTCAGGCAGTTACCTACTCTGTGCCTCCATGCCCTCATCTGTAAAATGCGGAAATAATGGGAAACTTCTAAGATAAAATTAACCTCTGGAAAGACAGCTTAACCCCCCTGCCCTGCAGCACATTCATCCCCCAACAGGCCTGGGTAAACCCTTTCCCAACCAAGAGCTGCTGGGAGAGGGGCTGCTTGTGTGTTGGGGAGACTCAGCTTCTCAAGGCAGAGTGGAAGGGATGCTCCCACAAGGGGAAAGGTGGCTTGTGGAGAAGCCATTTAGCATGGTGGATATAAGCATAGGCCAGGGAGTTCAATTCCTGGCCCTGCCATGAGCTTCAGCAGGTCATTTACCCTCACAGAAAATTGTGCCTTGGTTTTCTCTCCAATGAAATGGGGTAATAGGACCCACACCATAGTGTGTTCCAAGGATTAACTGACAAAATGACCTTAAAGAGCATATCACAGTGTCCAGCGCATGTTAAGTGTTCATTAAATTACTATTGTTGGTGTAAGGTGGCTAAAATGATTCTTTGCAAGGAGAGTTTATAATACAAGAGGGGGTTCTTTAAGGACACAAGTCCTGAGTCCTAGGAGAGGCAGTGGGGGCATTGTGGACAGAGCCTTGGGCTAGGGGTTGGGATTGGGCATCACCAGTAGAAATAGGTGGGGTGGGCCAACCATAGAACTCTGAGCTAGGTGGGGGTGACCTAGGGGAGTGGCCAGAAAGGTAGGAGGAAAACTAGGTGGGTCAGATGCACTCAGGAGGGCTCCAACCCACAGCCCAGCCATGTTCTTGGCCCCTGGATTCAGAGCTTCAGCCACTCTTTTCCTTTCACACAGGTCTATGCCAGAGACAGGCCTGGGGACTACCCCCACATCTCCCCAGGGGTTGTTAGATGGGGTTTAAATGAGTTAATAAACCTAGAGTAAGAAAACTGTCATCATAAGTAACACCCTTATCACCATTTTTTACAGGGAAGGTTGCCAAGGATCCAAGAGTTTAAGTGACTTGCCCAAGGTCACACAGTTGGTAATTAATGGTCAAAGCTGTATTAAAACCCTGTAAGGCTGAATTTAGGAATGGTGCCATGAAGTTGCGTGTTGCTCACAGACACAGGGCGGGTCTCCTAGTAGGCCCTGGGTTGGAAGGCGGCACTTTGGGAGCACCTCTGCACACCATCCCAAACCCCCCATCCCTCTTGGGGGAGTCGTCCACCACGTGGGTGGGAAGACGTGGGCGGGAGGATGGCTGGCCGCAGGGTTGTCCTCCCAAGAGAGACCCTCAGGGGGTATTCTTGGACATGGGGACTGCGGCCCTAAAGGCAGCCCCTGTGGTGGGGAAGGCATGGAGTCTCCAAAGCGCCGAGGAGGGGAACACGTGCCTCTCCCCTTTGTGCGCTTGGGGCACCCGGACTTGCCAGTCTTGGGGTTGGGGTGGTCTGGTCAGAGAGGCTTTCTGGAGTTCCAGTGTCAGACCCTGCTCCACAAACTTTGATCCTAGGGTCCCGTCACCCCTCAGCCCCTGCGATTCCTGACTTCCCTCCCCTTTCCTGCCTTTACCTCACCTGCCCTCCTGCAACAGAGCCAATGTGGGGCGTGTCTATCATTTCCTTGAGCACATTTTCTAAGCACCTACTGCATGCCAGGCACTACCCCATGAGGTACCCCAGATACAGATGTGGGGCTGAGCAGGACAGGGCACCATGCCACATGAGGGAGTTCAAATCCTGGCCCTGACATTTTGTCAGCTTTGTTCACTTGCAGCTCCTGCTGCATAGTGGGCCCTCAGTGAGGAAAGATGACTGACTGGTGCTTACAGCCTTGTCAGGTAGCCTGGATTCACAAGGTTAATCAATGACTACCGTGAGTGCTCAAAAGGAAGTATGCCAGGCCCAGTCTGTCCCACTTGATCTGTACTTTATCTTCCTGAATTTTCCAAACTCCCTCATTGCCCTCGTTTTACAGCTGGAAAGACTGAAGCACAGAGGGCAGTCTAAGCCATGACCTTTCTTGCCTTTCAGACTGGGGGTCTCCAGTCTGCAGCACTCTTCCCCCCACTCTTTGCCTGGCTAACTCATGTTCATAGCTTAGGTCTCAGGCAAAGAGCACCTCCTCCAAGAAGCCTTCCCTGACTCCCCCCACTCCCCGCAGTTTTCAGTCTATC